AAGGGGAGGAAAGCAAGGGACTAGGGGGGTAAGGAGCGCAGGGCTTGGACACTACCACCAAGAGGTGGGGGCGGGGCTTGGGCGCTGCTGGTTGTCTATACAGCAGCACCCTGTGTGTCGGTGGTCACACAGGTGCGGGCTGCAGGGGTGTCACACGATGGCGGGTAGTCTTCGCTCCTCTGGAGTTCTGCGGTGGATGGCTGACTATTGCTCTTCCTGGGTCTCTTCCCAGCCTGTCTGGCGGCGGAACTCCGTCTCTGGCGGCGGAACCTATCTCCATACCTTTTCAACCTGTATGCAGAGCAGATTATCCGAGAGGCTGGGTTCTATGAGGAGAAGTGTGGTGACAGGATTGGTGGAAGATCTATTAACAGTTTGCGGTATGCAGATGACACAACCCTGCTTGCTGAAACTGAGGAGCACCTCATGCATTTGCTGCAGAGGGTCAAGGACTGCAGCCTTCACTATGGACTGAGGCTCATGTCAAGATGACAAAGATTCTCACCACTGGACCAATTGGCAGCATCAGGATGGATGGCGAAGAGATTGAGATTGTTCACAGCTTCAGTTTGCTCGGCTCCACTGTCAACACTCTTGGCACCAGCAGCCAGGAAATCAAAAAACATGTTGCGATGGGAACATCCGCTGTGAGGGACCTCTCTAAAGAACTCAAGAGCAACAATGTCTCTCTGGAGACTAAGGTGTGCCTGATACAGGCCATGGTCTTTGCAATCACTTGTTATGCATCAGAGAGTTGGACAATGACTAGGGAGGATAGAAGGAAAATTGATGCCTTTAATCTGTGGTGCTGGAGAAGAGTGTTGAATGTACCCTGGACTGCCAAGAAAACAAACAGATTCATCCTAGAGAGGGTTAAACCAGGCTACTCCTTGGAGGCAAGGATTCTGGGGCTTCGTCTGACATACTTTGGACATGTAAGGGGAGACAGGTCCTTGGAGAGGGACATCATGCCTGGTAGTGTGGAGGGAGAGAGCAGGAGGGGAAGACCCTCTATGAGGTGGATTGACTCAGTGACTGGGGTAATCGGGATGGGAGTGTGAGAGGCAGTGCGATTGGCACAGGATAGAGCAGGGTTTAGGGCTGTTGTACATAGGGTCACTATGAGTCGCAAACGACTCAGTGGCACATAACAACAATGAGAAAAGGGAGTCCTCCTGGCCTAGTGGTCAGAAGCTGCACTGCCAACCCAAAGGCACATGGTTCAAATCCACCCGTGGTTCCGTGGGACGCAGATGGTCAGTCTCCTCCCGTGGGATTTACTGCCTGTGAAAACCTGCTGGAGGATCAGCTATGAGTCAATTCTGATTCAACGGTGCATAAAAACGAGAAGAAAGGAATTTTAGGAATGACCAGCAGTCAGTCACATCAAGTCTGGTCAATAATTTTAGTGATAAAGTCAGAAAGCATTTTCAAGGGGAGCTCTGGTGGCCTAGTGGTAAGGAGCTGCAACTACAATCCCAGAGGCGCACGGTTCGAATCCACCAGATGCTCTGCCGGGGAAGGAGGGACAATCTCCTCCTGTACCAGTCAGATCTGATTTGACGGTACACACACACACACACACAAAATAGAAAGCATTTTCAGTGGTTAAAAATGACTAGTGAGCTCACAACCATGGAGTTGCTCCCAACTCATGGCAGCCCTCATCGGGCGTCCGGGGCCGTGAATCACAGCAAGAGGAGGGGCTGGCCGATTCCAGCCTCTGGAGACTCACAGCCATTAGGTTGGGGAAAATAGAGATTACACCATCCCTAAAAATGACTAGCAGGATGGTTGCAATGCCATCTATTTATCACCTCACGTACTTTGGTCATGTTGCTAGGAGAGGCTGTTCCTTAGAGAGGGACATCATGCTTGGAGGGGTGGAGGGATGATGAAAGAGAGGAAGACCCTGAACCGGGTGGACTGACACAGTGACTGCAACAATGGGCTCAAGTGTGTCAGAGATTGTGAGGATGGCACAGGCTAGGCCAGGGTTCTGATCTATTGTTCATAAGGTCACTATGAGTCGTACTCAATGACCTCTAACAATAACAACAATCAACACACACAGACTGGAAAAGATCAGACTGATTTTCCCAGTGACCACAGACTTGCTGGGAGGGGAGTTTCCAGAGATGTTCTACGCACGAACACTTCTCAGTGAGGGGTGTTTGTGGAAGAACCATAGCAGTTCCACTGGAGGGGGGAATAAAAAGTCATATTATGCTTTTAATACACCTCTCAATGCCCTAAGAGCAAGCCAGCCTTCCTTCTTTAGTGACACCAGGTTGAGTGGCAGGGACTGCCCAGAGGTGTGCTGTGTGGGCCACTCTGGACCTGGCATGGATGGTCCTGGTCCCCAGGCCAGGTGCCATTGCAGTCGTAACCCCTTCTCTTGGCTCATTCTAAATTCTGTGCTCTGCTTCTCTCTGCGTCTAGGTGATGACAAGTTTGGGAGGAAGATCATTGTGTTCAGTGCCTGTCGAATGCCCCCTAGCCACCAGCTGGACCACAGCAAACTCCTGGGGTGAGTATTAGTGGGGGCAAGGGGAGGTAGGATCTTCGCCTTGATCCCCTGTATACCCTGTGCACCTCTCCTTACTGAGCACGCCACCTCCAGGCATGTGTCCATTCTTCTCACAAAGGAACTCTTTTTCTCTCAAATGAAGGTAAGTATATCTAGTGAATAATTCTACTCTGTAGAGAAAAAAATACCTTCATCTAAATCTGTCTGTCATGTGGAAGAAAGATGGATGGACAGCCTCCTCCGTCTGGAGGGTCAGCTTTGAGTCAGTCTGACACAATGGCACTGGTGGTCTGGAGAGCTCTGGTGGCTCAGTGGTAAGGAATTGTACTGCCAATAAAATGTACTTGGTTTTAATATACTAGATAGACACTCTGCAGGAGAAAGGCAGGCAGTTTCCTCCTGTGCGATTTACTGCCTCTGAAAACCCATTGGCAGGTCTGCTACGGGTCAATTCCCACTTGATGGTAAACAACAACTGGTGGCCTAGTCAGCAGGGAGGGTGCTGTCGAAGGCCACGCCTCTCTAGCGGTTCAAATCCACAGCAGGCTCCTCGCATCTGACATAGAACCTCAGAAACCTGCTGGAAGCTCAGCTATGACTCTGTCCTGACTCCACGGCATTGAAAGTTGGAGTGTATTTGGACACGCATGCAGTGTTTTATGATCTGTTGTTTAATAGGCAGAAATAAAACTCAGTATTACTCAGTATTCCCAAAGGGGCCTCTGGTGGTGTAGTCTGTATGGAGTCCAAAGAACATATGCTTTTCTGGTGGTTCAGTGGCTCTGAGGGAGGAAGGTAACCAATCTCCTGTAGTTTTATAGCCTTGAAAACTCAAAGGTCAGCTACATTGACAGTGTTGGACACTTTCAAAAGGCAGAAGTCAGATGAAGAAGTTGTTACTGTCTCATTTTTATATACTTGGGGTGGTTGTTGTTGAGTATCGTCAAGACAGAAACGACCCATAGCTGACCCTCCAGTGGGTTTTCAGAGGCAGTTAATCACGGGAGGAGATTGCCCATCCTTCTCCCGTGAAGCAGCTGGTGGGTTTCTTCCCACGAGCCCACCAGAGCTCCCTCGTATGTTAGGTATCTTATATAACTAATTTGAAGATTTAGTAAAAATTATTCCAGAAAGACTTTTCCCCCTCCCCTCTCTCCCACTGACCCTGCTCCTTCCTGTTTATCAGACCACTTCCTTCTTCTCTCCGGCATTTATTGCTCTCTGTTTTCGCTGTTAAAAATCCCTATTTTTTTGTTAACATGCAAGTTTTGTGGAGACAAAGAATTTATTGTATCCTCAGTGACTATAACCTTGACAAACAAAGGACCAATAAGCATGAATTAGATAAATAAGTAAGTTCATATCAAATTAGCCAGTACAGAAAACTGCAAAGAAATAAGTGAGAGAGAATTACTTGTATCTGAGCGAACTCTTGTGTGACGTGAGCACCTGGCTAAGATGCAGACTTGGCTTCCAGTCATGGAACCTGTGTCTGTGCCTCCCCGACAAGGGTTTTCGTCTCTTGAAACCTCTTTTTCTTCCCCTTTGAAAAAGAGGTAATAACATGGTTAAGCATTTAGCTACTAGCCAAAAGACTGGTAGTTCAAACCCACACAGCTCCTTTTCAGGAGGAAGGTCTGGCAGTCTGCTTCCATGAAGGTTCCCTCCCTCCCTCACTCTTTGCCATCGAGTCAGAGCCGACACAGCGGAGCCTCGCAGGTTTCCGGTGCTGTAAATCGCGTGACAGGATTTTGCGCATCTTTCCCACAGAGCCACTGGTGGATTCAAACCAACAGAGTGTGGCTGAGCAGCCTGTAGAGCTCCCCCCGTAAAGATTATAGCCATGAAAATCCCACGGGACAGTTCCTACTCTGTCATGTGGCGTCGCTGTAAGTTGGGAATGACTTGAAGGCACCCAGCAACACCAGCTTCCTCACAGGAGTGAGATAATGTATATGAAATGCTTCAAAGATTGAAAAATCATCCACATGTAAGGCCTTGATTGTGCAGTTGTATATCTGATGAGGTTACTGTTGTTCATTATTTATATAACTACTGTTTTGTGCTCAGGTAAATTTGGTATCACAGATTTCTGAGACTGTTTAGGTTCTGTTAACTCAATATATAATATACATACACACACATACGTTGTGTAGGGGTATTTTTGGTAGTTTTATTATGTAATTTTGAAAGTATTTTCAGGAGACAACCTTTCTGTGAATTTTTAACACAGCATACAAAATGTGTGTGTTTACTACTTTTGTCATACATTGGCAACCTCTTATTATCTAGAGACTAGATATTATAAAATTAGGACTTATTTGTCCCATATATATGCACAACATCTATAAACTACAGCAAAGTTAAATGAAAAGTACGTAACATACAGGTCAAAGGATAATTTGGAATTTTCTAGTAGATACTAGCAAAACATCTTTTGCAGTTTCTACCCGCCCCCCAACTCCCTTAGCCCAACAATAAACCACTAGAGAGTTCACAGAGGTGTTTAACGGTTTCGTTTCCAAAGGCAGTATATTCCATCTAATTAAAAAAGCTATCTACAGTAATACAATCCAAAGGCACATTGTTCGAAAACACCAGATGCTCCGCTGGATAAGGAGGGACAATCTCCTCCTGTGCCATTTGGATCCGATTCGATGGTACACAACAATAAAAATTAAAAAAAAAAAATTAAAAAGCTATCTACAAAGTGTTACCCTAATCCTTCTATTTTTAATACTCGAAGCACTTGTAACCATCTAGAAAGACTAGATACTGCAAATAAAAACTTACTTGTCCTCTGTGTACACAGAACTGTTAAATAAAATAGTGCACAAAAAATAATTGTTAAGTGCCATCAGGTCAAGTATGACTTTTAGCAACCCTCTGAACCTGTCCTGTCCTGTGCTGTTCTCATCATCTCTGACACCTTGAACCCACTGCTGCAGTCACTGTGCCAATCCATCGCATTGAGGAGTTTCCTCTCTTTCGTGGACCCTCTACCTTTTCAAACATGAGACCCCTTTCCAAATTATAACCAATTCTTTTTTTTTTTTAATTTTTGAATTTTTTTATTTTATTATTTTTGTTTGAGTGTACCATCAAATCAGATCTGACTGGTACAAGAGGAGATTGTCCCTCCTTCCCCGGCAGAGCATCTGTTGGATTTGAACCGTGCGCCTCTGGGATTGTAGTTGCAGCTCCTTGCCACTAGGCCACCAGAGCTCCCCTAAATTATAACCAATTCTAACATGCACAGAGTATGTGAGATGGAGCTTTACCATCCTTGCCTCTAAGGAGCACCCTGACTGAATTTTCTCAATACATACCTGTGTGTTCTTTTGTCAGTCCATGGGATATTCAGTCCTCTTCCCCAACACCACAATTCAAAAGCATCAATTATTCTTCTGTTATATTAATCATCATCCAGCTTTTGCATACACAGCATGAAAAGTCCATGGCCTTGCTTATTAACAAACAAATGGATAGAGAAACTTGGTATATTCACACAATATTATGCTGCCTTGAAAAACAAGGAACTCATGAAATATACAAAATGGGTGACCCTGGAGGACATTATGCTGAGTGAAATATCTCAGTCACAAAAGGACAAATAGTGCATGTGCCACTGTTGTAAAATGGGACTGACATTGGGGTTGGGGGGAAAAGGGGGTAAATAATGTATACTGCATTGAAACAGATGAGGGGGAGAACTGTTTAAAAGAATATATATTTAGGTATTATTGGTATGACAAGAGTCCAGAATAAGAGCTGCAAAGTAAAGTGGACTGGGGGTGGGGGGAGGATTATGTAACAATGAAAGAATTTTTTTTCTCTTCAAGGAGAAAGGGGAACTGAGAGGAAGGTGTGGGTAGGGAAGAAAGTGTGCAACAACGTATGAATGGAAATCCAAAAAGAAAAAAAGACTAAATTATCTGGAAACTTGTTTCCGTAGCACTTACTGGATATGTAAAGCTTTATTAGCATTGAGAAAATAATAAAGTTGTGTTGCCTTGTCCATCCTATTAAGGACTAAGCCTTGCATTGCCAAAGAATTTTGTTGTGGCTTTCTCATCCCCTTCTCCTTCAAGAGCCTTTCCCTTCTTTTTTTTTTAATTTTATTTTTATTTTTATTATTTATGTGTGTGAGTACTGTCAAATCAGATTTGACTGGTATAGGAGGAGATTGTTCCTCCTTCTCCAGCAGAGCACCTGGTGGATTTGAACCGCACACCTATGGAATTGCAATGCAGCTTCTTGCCACTAGGCCACCAGAGCTCGCCAAGAGCCTTTCCCTTCTAATAATCCCCCCAAGTAAATAAAGAAAATACATTTTTTAATGTCTTTTTTAAAAAAAAGGTCCATGGCCTTGTGTCAGGCACACCTTAGTCTTTAAATTGACATCATTGCTTCTCAAATACTTTGGACCCTGGCAGTAGACTTTCTCAGTGCAGTTTGTCTTTTTTATTTCTTGGCTGCTGCTACCAGTGGTGTTGATTGTGGATCCCAGTAAGATGAAATTGTTGACAATTTCAGTCTTTTCTCCATCTGTCATGATGTTGCCTGTTGGCCCAGTGATGAGGATTTTTGATCAATAAACCCTTGACACCACAGGTTATTCTACAACTCTCTTGACACAAAATACAAAGGCTGATTTGATACCCAATTTGATAGGTGTTTTTCCTACAAGCATCCTCTGCTGTTGGACCAGGCTCTGGGTCCATAGTGAGATCAGAGCTGTGTCCCTGGGCCCTGAGCTCTCTGTCCAGCCTACAGTACATGGAACTTCACAGGGAGAGCACTCACCAACTGCCCGATGGACGTGTAGATATGTATGCATGGTTACCATCATGCTCATCTTTCCTGGACAGCGTAACACATCTCTGAAATACATAGTCTTTCAGAAATGATGGACTAGTTATGTAAGATCCTGAATGGTGATGGTGGTAGTGGTGGGTGTGCATGTACACATGTACTGGGATGGTACAGGGCAGGAGCAGGCCAAGAGTGAGGCAGGAGAAGAAGGGCCAGATTCCGGCATTCCTCAGCCTTTGTCTGGGGGCTTATTTCTGTTTGGATTTCTAAACTCCCTTCCCACTTCTCCTCAGAAAACGGGGCAAGCCAGGAATAGGCCAAAGCGCTCAGCCTGAGAGTGGCTGAGTCACACCCTCTCCCTTCTGGTTTTATCACACTGTGTGACATAACAGGTGACAGACTCCTGGCCAGATAATAGTCTGAGTGGGGAGGAAATCAGTATGGGGAGAGGAAAGCACCCAGCTTTCCAGGAGGCAGCTTGCTGAGGGAGGCTGCACCTTCCTTGGGGCTTCCTCGGGGCTTAGGGAGCCCTCTGCCATCTGCTGCTACCTGTCCTCCAACCCTTCCCAGGCTCACCCACCCCACCATCACCTCCACTGCCCCAGCCTGGTCACAGTCTCTGCAGAGGGCAGCGAGGCACTGCCATTAGTCCTGTCATACTGAATTCAGTCGGTTGTCTCAAATCTAGCTTTCCCCAGCTGTCTACCCAGATTGGAAACAGAAATAGAAAGCTTGTGTGAGAAGTCAGGCAGACATGCGCTTTATGCTCTGGGGCAGGTCTCTTGTGAGCTCCGTAAAAAGAAGAATGTGTGTGTGTGTGTGTCCCCAGCCTTGGGGATTGGATAGCACAAATGGTTAAGGGCTTGGTTGCTAACCAGAAAGGTAAGAGGGTCAAGTCTACCCAGGGAAACTTGAAAGAAAAGGCTTGGTAATCTACTTCAGAAAGAATCCACATTGAAAGCTCAGTGGAGCCCAGTTCTCTGACACACGTGGGCTGCAGGAGTCAGAACTGACGCAACAGCAAATGGTTTTAAGTGTCCCTGAAATACCACTGTCTGCAGTGTATTACAGCGTAATGGTATTCAAACTCAAATCCAATTGTGAAGCTGCAAGTGACTCATTGCTGACGCATAAGGTTAAGTCTTTTGAATTTTTAAAATTTAGGAAAATGTAGGTGAAGTGTTGCTGTGTGTGCTCACAGCGACAACCCTACAAGACAAAGTAGAACTGCTCGTGGGATGTACTAAGCAGTATTCTTTATGATCAACTGATTTAGCTTCGGTTCTGCAGGTCTTTGCTCCCGACGGGCGAAAGGTTCCAAGTGCCGGTCTGTCATGTAGCTTCTGAGTGCTTAACCACTGCACCACCAAAGCTCCTTAAAGAAAACATGCTGATAACTAGAAAGCAAAAAATAGTAATTTCATAAACCCAGCAGCCACTATTATTCACTATTTTCTTTGATTAACACATACTGAACTCTGGGTTCAGTTTTGTATCTTGCATGACATTTTTATCTTCTGAGCATCCTTTGGCAAAAAAATATTGCCACATAGGTTCAGAAAGGTGGACTTGAGATAAGAGCACAGGGACACACTCTTGTTACATGCCCTCCGGGAGCCCTCAGTGTCATTGTGCACGGCCCTCAGAAGGAAACCGCAGTCCCAGCAGCCAACTTCACAGGTTCACGCTGTCTGCAGAAACTTCCTGGGCGGCTTTCTATTAATAGATCTCATGATTGTCCAACCTTTTGTGTTTTTTTTTTGCTCAGCTTTATTTTTTTGCTCTTTAAAAAAAACCCTGCAATTAGTAACCTTCTACAAAAATTGTTCTCCTCTCTGATAATCTCTTTAGTATTGGCATTTTTATAGGGTCAATAAAAAGGTACAGTTTACAGCTCCTGATAAAAACATCCTTTTATTGGACTCTAAAGGTCAAAACCCCATCAGTGGAGAAAACTTTTTTCACTGTAAGATTTGCTGTATTGCCAGTTGCACCAGGCCATTTTTTGTAAAACACACACACACACACACACACACACACTCACTCACTCACTCACTCACTCACTCACTCACTCTCTCTCTCTCTCTCTCTCTCTCACTCTTTGTAAACCGGAAGTACTAAATGTATATGAGGGATATTCAGAAAACCCACTGCTGTGGGGTCACGGCCGGCTCAGTGACTGTCCATCTGGTTTCCATGGCTGTGAATCTTTGTGGGAGGGGACGGCTCGTCTTCGTCCAGACCAGCGGCTGGTGGCTACAGACTGCAGACTCTTGCTTAGCAGCTGGATGCGTTACATGCTGTGCCACCAGGGCCCCTTGTAATGGTATTGAAACACAAAAGCTGATTGCCGTGGAGCTCAAACTGACTCAGAGCTGACCCTCCCTCAGGTTTTCCAAGGTTGTGAATCGTACAGGCAGCGAGTGCCCATCTTTGTCCTGAGAGGCTGATAGCAGGTTTGAACCACTGGAGAGGTGCCACCTTTAGGTCAGCACGTTCCACCCTACAGACTAGGCCGTCCGCACTCCCTGATGGTGTTGCTGCTGTTGTCAGGTACTTCTGAGTTGATCATAACCCCTTGTTGTTGTTGATTGCCATCGAGTCAAGCATGACTCATAGTGACTCTATCAGCAAAAGACTTGAAGCATTTCTGTAACTATCGTCTTTTCTCCAAGTTCATAGAGTTTCCACAGGCATGAGGTTTACAAAGTAGGTGTCACTCCTGCTTCCAAACTTGTCTTAAACTGAGAACTCCACCAAACACTGTCCACTTTGGGCAACCATTATGGCATTTGACACCCCAGTGGCACAAGGTTCAGCATCACCCACATTACCTCAGTACAACAAATTGACAGAAGAGTGCTGTACAACTTAGAAGAATGTTCCTCCAAAATAGAACACCACTAGTCTCACTTAGCAATGGTTAAGTGCTGTCAAGTCGAATACAACTCATGGCAATCCTCTGAACAAAAGATCTGAACCCTGTTCTATAACTGACATCATTTCTCTATGTTCATAGAATTTCCAGAGGCATGTGGTTTCGGAAGTGGATGCCACTCCTGCTTCCAAACCTGAATCAATCTGGGGAGGTCCTCCAAACACTGTCCATGATGGGTAACCATTGTGGCATTTGACACAACTATGGCACAATGACCCAATAAACAGCAGATTTGTACCCGCCTTGCCCTGTGCCATCCTCACCATCTCTGATATACCTGAGCCCGTTGTTACAGTCACCGTGTCAGTCCATCTGGTTGAGGATCTTCCTCTCTTAGTGCGTGGGTAATAGTGGTCCCAGTTAACAATAATAATCCATGACTGGCCACCTCCTTGCACGCTGGGCCAGTATTTGAGTTCTCTCGATTAAGCCAAGCTGTAGTTGGGCACTTGGCCTGCTGTTTGGGAATTGCTGTGGATTGGACTCCTCCCTCCCGCTCCCCTTCCCTTGGGGATCCTTGTCATTCCTGTCCCCCCAGCCTGGAGTGGTGCCTCTTCAGGAGTCTGAGTGTTGGCTGACTTCCAGGAAGAATGTTTCACACGTGGCTCCTTCCCTTTCTTGAATTCTTGTTCATTCCTTCCATATTTTTCTCCGTCAAGTGGGTGGGCTCTATAACGTGTACTTGTATTTGGGGGGCTCTGTGTGTTGTGCACTGTGAGGCTAAGTAGCTCTTTGGTCCTTCACACCCATTGACGAGCAGGACAGAGGCCTCCTGGCCAGGAGATTTCCTCTCAGGCGGTGATTTAAGTCCTTTGGAGAGTCTGGTGTAAAAGGCAGCGCTGTCAGGAATTACTGGTTTAGTGTTCACCCACACACCCCTTACATGCTGTGCAGCCTTGGGTGAGCACTTGACTTCTCTGAGCCTCATTGTCCTCAGTCCTAGGAGAGGGATGACACCGGCCTCCATTGTTCAGAGGAGGGGATAGGAACGTGAAGTGTTTGGCATTGACTAAACGGTGGCTGTCAGCGTTGTTAGGGAGCTCTGGTGGTGTAGTCCATAGGGTGCTGTAATGCTAACCCAAATGACCCGCCTCGCTGGTTCGAATCCACCAGTGTCTCCAATGGAGAAAGGTGGATAATCTCCCATGGGATTGAAAGCTTTAGAAGCCTGCTGGAGGGTCAGCAGTGAGTTTCTGAGGCACCCTTCTGAGAGGAATAGTATTCCCATTTTTACTTGGTTTCCTGCTTCTGGTCAGTGCTCAGACCCGAGAGCTCTGTTGTTGCCCAGGCACTGTTCTGTGACTTTCTGCAAGCTAGACAGTGGCTGATAACGCAGCCAGCAGAGACCCACGGGTCCGGTGCTAGGGGAGGGCTGCGACCAGAGTCCCAGGCCCCACCGGGGCCCGGCGTGGATCGGGCCTGAGCGGGCTTTCTCCGGGCAGGTACCTGAAGCACACGCTGGACCAGTATGTGGAGAGTGACTACACCCTGCTCTACCTGCACCACGGCCTGACCAGCGACAACAAGCCCTCCCTCAGTTGGCTCCGGGACGCCTATCGGGAATTTGACCGCAAGTGGGTTGTGGCTGGGATGGGGGGAGGCAGGTACCGTATTGGTCGGAGCAAGCACAAGTCCGAATGACCTGGGTTCAAGTCCTGCTTCTCTCCTTGCCTGCTCTGTGGCCCTCACTATTACTTGACCCCTCTAAGCCTTGATTTCCTAATCTGTAACATGGGTCAGAAGTGGCACCTGTGCCGGCGTGCCAGGGGCAGTCAGACCAGAACTGTGCTTAGGGCAGGCAGCTCTGTCCCTGCCCACTCCCCACCATGTCCTAGTGCCCCACTCTGCCTTCCCTAGGTACAAGAAGAACATCAAGGCCCTGTACATCGTGCACCCCACCATGTTCATCAAGACCCTGCTTATTCTCTTCAAGCCCCTCATCAGGTGAGCAGCCCAGGATGACCTGGCTGTGAGTGCTTGCCCCCCAGGGGAGAAGCCCCCCAGCTTCCCCTCTAACTCAGAAACAGAAAGATCATTGCGGGGCATCCTCGGTTAAGGGGCTGGGCCTCTGGTCTGGTGGACGGCTGAGGGGACAATGAAGATCTCTGGAGAGCGCCCCCCACTCTGATCCCCACCTTTTCTTCCTGGGCAGCTTCAAGTTTGGGCGGAAGATCTTCTACGTGAATTACCTGAGTGAGCTGAGTGAGCACGTGAAACTGGAGCAACTAGGGATCCCCCGCCAAGTGCTCAAGTGCGATTGGGGGGAAAGGGGGGGCTGGGTGTGCTGCTGAGGGAAGGAGATCTGCCAAGTGCTCAAGTGCAATTGGGAGATATGGGGGGGGGGCCCTGGATGTGCTTCTGAGAGAAGGGGCAGCCTTCAGGACAAGAGGAAGTGAGAGTAATGATTAAGGGCTAGGGTGAAGGGTCAGAAGAACAAGTTCAAGTCCCATTTCTGCCCTTAAGAGCTGTGCCAGGGAGTCTTCAAAGCCTTGGCTTGCTCATGTGTAAAGCAGGGTCTCCTTGAGTATGAAGTGAAACGATCCATATGAGTCATGCTTGGTAACAAGGTGCCTGTGGGACACAGAGCCCCGGGTGGCCCTGACCACCTCCTCTCCTGCAGGTACGATGACTTCCTCAAGTCCACACAGAAGAGCCCGGCCACGGCCCCCAAGCCCATGCCACCCCGGCCACCCCTGCCCAACCAGCAGTTTGGGGTCTCTTTACAGCAGTGAGTATCTGCGAGGTGGGCAGGCCCAAGGCTGGCTGTGGGACGCCAGCCTGTAGAGCCCTCACCGCCCTGTCCCCTCAGCCTCCAGGAGAAGAATCCAGAGCAGGAGCCCGTCCCACTGGTGCTCAGAGAGACTGTCGCCTACCTGCAGGCCCACGGTGAGCGCCAGGCCGCTGCTCCTTGGCTCTGTCACCTCCGAACCCACATTTCCCCTCCAACCCACACCTAACTTTCTCAGCTGGGACCCCAGCCCTCCTTGCCAAAGAGAGGGCCCAGTGTCTCCAAACCCAAGGGACCCTGACCTGACCCTCAGTGACCCTGACTGAGCCGTTCTGAGGCTCACCATCTCCCCTGTCCCCCCAGCTCTCACCACTGAGGGCATTTTCCGAAGGTCGGCTAGCACCCAGGTTGTCCGGGAAGTGCAGCAGAAGTACAACATGGGTGAGTGGTCCTGTCAGGGATGGGTGTCACTGTGACTGGCCTGCTCTGCCTGTAGAGAAGGGTAGATTCTGTCCCTGTCAGAGGGTCCTAGGCATTTGATAAGATTCCCACTCCTGCCACCTCAGCAGTTTGGCTTCTGGCCCCTGAACTGAGGCCTTTTCAGAAGGAGGGGACAACTGAGGTGTGAGGTGGGGGCGCCTTTTGCCCAGATGGCTGGAACCTGCATTTCCTTGTCACCGAGGAAAGGGGAGGCAGGTGCACGAGGAGGCCCCCTGGAGGGAAGGGTGTGTAGACCAAGTTGGGAAGTGGGTCTGCTTGGCCTGGGAGGAGCTGCTGGTGTGCAGGCCAAGAAGGGGACCCCCCACCCATCCCTAATGCCCCCGTCCCTCAGGGCTGCCTGTTGATTTCGACCAGTACAATGAGCTTCACCTGCCAGCCGTCATCCTCAAGACCTTCCTCCGGGAGCTTCCTGAGCCCCTGCTCACCTTTGACCTCTACCCCCACGTTGTGGGCTTCCTCAGTGAGTGTCCCTCTTCCCTCCTCCCCACCCTGTGCACCTCTCCCACCGGGGACGGGGCCAGATGTGGCGTGCTTGGCCCTCCATTCATCCTTCCCCTCTGGCTGTCAGCATCTCCAAGGAAAGACCCATTGGGGTCTCCCCTTTTGCCTTGGCCCCATGTGAGCATTCACCAGACCTGGGTACTCTTCCTCATAGACATTGACGAGAGCCAGAGAGTGGAGGTGACGTTGCAGGCCCTCCAGACACTGCCTGAGGAGAACTACCAGGTGCTTCGCTTCCTGACTGCCTTCTTAGTCCAGGTGAGACCTCACCTGGGGGTAGAAGGAGGAGAGCGGGGAGCTGCCATCCTGTTGGTCCAGTCCGGCCGCTGACAGTGGGGAACAGATTCCTTGACTACTGACTGCAACCTAACAATTTCCTCCACAGATTTCCTCCCACAGTGACCAGAACAAGATGAGCAACACCAACCTGGCTGTGGTCTTCGGCCCGAACCTGCTGTGGGCCAAAGATGCCGCCATTACTCTCAAGGCCATTAATCCCATCAACACCTTCACTAAGTTCCTACTGGATCATCAGGGCGAGCTGTTCCCTCCCCCAGACTCCAAGGGGCAGTGAGCACAGCCCCTGCCCCTCCAGCCTCCTTCTCTGACCCTTCAATCTGGACTCTTTCTGCTTGGCTTCAGCCTTATGGGAGCCCGGGGCTCCGCCCCCCAAGCTGGGGGCCAGCAACCTCCGCTCTGCTCGGCCCACTTCATGGCCCTGGAGGTCTCACTGTTACCACAGACATTTTTCTTTTCGCCTTATACTTCTCACTGCCTCCCAGAGGCCTGGCTCGCGCTGGGCACTCCGGAGCTGGGCTTGGCTCCTCCGGTCTTAGAAGGACTGAAGCCCAGCACCCTCTTTCCTGCTTTCTCTTGCTGTTTCCCTGGCAACCATGGATGACCAAGTCACTGCCAGCAGGGCTGGTAGTTGGGGCTGGCCTTTCCTTCCAGATTTTTGGGGAATGGAAGGCTGGCTCCTTGGCTTAAGTCTGGGCAGGTCTTGGCTGTGTCCTGCTGCATCTGTTGCCCACCCACCAGGAGTCCCCGGTAGGAAGGCCTGGAAGCAGGCCTCTGTTCATGTCCACCCCGCTTCAGTCTCAGCTGTGGATATTTCCACAGCCAAGGAGGGACAGACCTTCTGGAGTCTGTTTCCTAGTTCTGTCCCCTTCCACATGTACGGGACCAACTTTCCTCACGTGGTACTGCTACAGGGGGTTGCCAAGTGCCTGGTTTCAACAGGACTGGCATCTTAGGTGACAGGGCTCAGAGGGCGGCCCTGCCAGTCCCAGCTTCCACTCTGAAGGCCTGTGGACACTCACTCCCACTACCAGAATATTCTGGTCCAAGTCAGTGACAAGCACCCTTTTTTCTCATATGGACAAGTCATCACCTCCAGGCTCTGCGGACCTGTCTGCTGTGGAGTCAGGTCCCTAATCTGGCCAGAGGTGACTCAGTGCCTCAGGATCTGGGGGTCCTGGGTGGGGACTGGAGCAGAGGCTCAGAGTACCCATAGGGGCAGGGGAGACTTTGCTATTAGTTCAGCCCCTGCCAAGTGGTTTCTAGCAGCCTCCCCCAGAAAGCATGGGACCAGGGGGCCCTGTCAAGAAAGAAGTTGAAAAAAAAATCAGCCCATCACTTGGGTGGAATTTTCCAGTGCTCATAAACAGGACCCTGGTCCCTTGTAATGAGTAGCTTTCATCCCAGCTGTGTCCCTTGGTATTACACTCCTCGCTGACAGACTTGTCCCTGGTAGCAGGGCAGTACCTGCTGGCCCTGATCCACATGGAGGTCTCTGTGGAGACAGGCCCCATCTGTAAGCTGGGTGGGGCCTGGGCCCTGGCTCTGCCCTGGTGACTGGTTCTCAGGACCCCTGAGGCCTGGGAGTTGCTGCTGGGTCTGCCTTTGTCCAGCCTTGTATTCTGCTTTCTGCTCTTTGTATATCAAGTGTTGTTCTCAGCCCCACTGAGGGGGAGTCTTTTGGATCTTTGGTCTTTCTCCTGTGCCGCTGTCCCGCTGGTTTTTACCTGGGACACTGGTACTGTGAACTCAGTGTTCACATTCATACTTAATTATGTCCTTGGCACCAATCATGTAATTCACCGTTTGCACTTTTTTGTATTTCAATAAAAATGGAGATGGAAAACTGCCCGTCTGGCTGGAGTTGACCAGGATATGGAGGTTAAGGATGGGAACTGGGTGGTTCAGGAGAGACAGGATGAGGCCTCAGGAGACCCCGTTCCCAGCCTCTTCCATTTTGAGGCATGAGTGGATATGACATTTTCCAGGCTAAGTGTGAAGTCAGGTTCTGTTTTGCACCAGCAGCATTCCAGCTGGCTGCGTGTGTTGTATCCCAAAGCCACAGTGTCTTCTGTCCTAGCTGGAAGGTGGTGCTACGTACCAGGGATTCGGAACTAACTCATGGCTGACGCTCCAGCAGTTTCAGAGGCTATAAATCATGCAGGAGGAAACAGCCCTTCTTTAGCCCAGAGCAGCTAAGTAGGTTCAAACTGCCTATCCTTGGATTTGCAGCACAACTCCTTAGTGTTAGGTCACCAGATGTTTATTCTTGTGAAGCAGGTGAGAGGAAGCGTGGTCCAGTGAGTGGAATTGGGACTAGGGTTTGGATGCTAGTTCCATTACTAGCACTATCTAGCTGGTAATAAGGCCTTTGGTCTCGCTTTGCTATCTGGAAATAGATTCTCTTAGAGATAATGTGTAGAAGTGTTCAGTGTAGCATCAGCCTGTCACTTCAGAACACAAATGCTGTCAGGACTCAGCTTGCCGGAGCAAGCTCTGCTTTGCTTTGGGAACGGCTGTAATGGGGAAAGCAGCACAGTTTCACAGCACACATTTAAGTTGGCCCAGAGGCTGTCTTTCAGCTGTTGCTGCTTGCCTGCTAATTGCATTCAGGCTCTGCTGGCCTCGATTAGGCCCATAGGTTTTTTTCCCTCAGGGTTTACATTGGGTTCTTAAGGTGGTAAACAATGGCCTGGCACTCCAGGAAACCAGTCTGGTTGCACAACTGTGGCCTTCAGGTAGCTCAGGGCAGAAGGCACTGGTGGGTCCCTCTCTCTCACTGACCCTGCTGAGTAACTAGGACAGCATGAGCCAGAGAAACAAGCAAGAGACAAGAGGGAGTGTCGTTTCCCTGGGCCCATCTCCAGGCAGGGCCACAGAGGGGAATCTAGCGGTTCCCTGCTGCCTTAGCAACTGCAGGACCCAGGGCTGAGAGTAGGGAGACACCTTAAAGGGGTAGTACATGTAATTACACAGGGAACACCATGCACGGAGCAGTGGAGCAGCTGAGCACGGCTGTACTAGGCTCAGTCAGGAGGTGGGAACATCTGGGCAGGCTTCCCACCATCTGTGGCCCAGGGTCCCACCTCTGTGACCCAAAGACTGGGCAGCTTGTCTGGCTGCCTGTTCTCAGGGCTGAATCCCCCAGGCTCCTCCCAGCCTGCTGGTGTGAAGTTTCCGTTTGTTAACAAGCCAAGTGTCCATTACTGGCTGGAGGGGCTGACCCTACCTTTTCAGGTTCAGGTTAAATTTGGAATTGTCTAACCCTGCCCTTTTTGTCCTGAGGTTTTGCTTCAGCATGTGGGCAACCCAGACCTTGGTTCCCTAATTCTCAGTCAGGTAGGAAGTTTGCCTCCAGCGACTCCTTCATGCTGGGACAGTCTTCACTCAGCTCTGGCCCTCGATCTGGGGGTCCAGCCTACAAAGCTGGAGCTAGCCTTGCCAGGGCTGAGCTGCTGGCAGATGCCCCCAAGTGCTGAGACAGGAGTGGTACCTACAGGGCTTTGTCTTCCTGACTCCTGGAGCTCCTGTGCCCTGGCTGGAGCTGGCAGATGAGGGACAGAAGGCCAGCTTTTGTGTGTCCTTGATTCCTGGCTTCAGGCTGAGGAGTTATGTAGAGAGAAATACAGGCTAATCCTGAAGGCTAACATTTTATAGAGAATTGCCTCCAGGTCAGGCACTGTGTACTTTATACACATTCTCTCACTGAATATCCTCTTGCAAGACCCCAGATCCAAGCAGTACAAGAAACATAATCTCTCCAAGAGGCTTCCTGAGCAGACCAAGGTTCAAAGCATCCTAACTCCTGAGCCCTTCCCTTTCCTTAGAGCCAGCTTGAGGCAGACCTACATGACAGGAGAGCAGGCTAGGTTTGCAAACCACATGAAGGACAGAAGCCTGTAAAGTACAGAAAAAAATTTATTGGAAATCTCTTGAATACATTTTAAATTGTAGCTCAGGATTTCCAAACGAGGTGGGATGGAGGAGAGATGATGCTGGCTCTCACCTGGAGACCGATGTCTGGTCCCAGCCCTGTTCAGGTGCTGCAGGAGTCTGTGTTCACGTGTTGTACATGGCTAAGGGGCTAGGCTGCTCCTCCCGGATTCAGCTCAGTCAGGGCTCAGCCTCCCTGGCCTCTTCCTGTGGGGTCTTGGAGAAAGGTTGCTGCACAGACCAACTAGGAATCGCAGAGGACTATACGGGAGAGGGCTAAGAGGCCTTTCCATGCAAAGCCTCAGAGAAAGAACTGACCAGGGGCCTCCACCTTTCTCAGCCCCAGGGCCTAGTGTGGATTTTGTAGCAGGCTATGGGCATGGCCACCATAGGGAAGTGCTCTGGCCTGACAGGAGGAGGGCCACTTGGGTAGCACTGTTTTCCAGGACTATTTCTCTCTGGCGGAGTGCATGCACAGAGCCGGGCTCGGCCTTAGCCAAGATCCCCAAGCCCGGGCCAACCCTGTAGGTGGGACAGCTTCACATGCAGTTTACTAACAAGCAGTTAGAACAGCTGCTGCCAATGAACACCCTCAGAGGCCCAGGTGGGACAGGGCAGGCCCATGTGCCGTTAGCCAGGTATTAGTTAGGCTGAGGGAGAGAGGGCAGAGGGGTGAGGTTAGGCACTTGACTTAATCAAGTTACAGTTTCTGAAATTAACCACGTGTCCTGCTGTAGTTTTCAGTAAGAAACCAATCCAACTAGTGAACCCCAGGGCAGTGTGCAGGCCCAGGAATTAGGGGGAAACAGTGGCCAGGCCCATGAGGAAGGAGAAAAGGCCTACAGGCCCCAGCTTGAGGAGCAGGTACCCCAGCAGCAGGGGCACCTGGCTTTTTCTAGTCCAGGGGGGCACACAATGAAATGCCTTCGGGCCCAGCACGTGGCATAGCTTGGGGTGTCCATGTTTAGCACCTGGGCTGCCAGAAGAGCCAGTCACTCTGCAGAAGCTGTGAAGACTTGAGTCACCAGGAAAACTGAGGTGTCCAAGGGAAGGCCTGTTGTCAGCTCAGATGCAGCAATGCTGGGAGGCCACTCTGCCCCGGCCCCATCCTGGATCCCTCCTCTGTCACGGGAGGAGATCCTCAGAGCAGCAATCCGGGTTCTGAGAAACCACCATAGGAGGCCTCTGCTCCAAGAAGTGGCCCTTCACCTTCCCTAAAATGGCTAACCTCAGACATAGTTTTTCTATAAAATCTCTGAAAGTAATAAATATTCACTGTATAACCAAGGTGCAACCAGAGGGGAGGGGAGGAGAGGAAACTAGAAGAGCCGCTGCTATGACTCCTGGTGACAGAGTTCTGGAGATGGGAGGCTATTGTCACTTTTCATGGAGCCAAGGAGTGAGTGCGGGCAGCCGCCAGGGCTACTCGAAGTCTGCCATGAGGGCTAGTGGACTTGTGCATTCACATCAGGCATGCCTCCACACTGTAAAAGTACAGGCCTGGGGGCAGAGAAGAAAGGAAGAGGAGACCAGGAACTGAAGAGGACAAAGACTTCAGGACCCCTCCTCTCCTCTCCTTTCCTTTCCTCCCAGCAGTCTTCTTCCTCCTCCTGCCTCCATATCAGTCTGAGCCACCAGCTGGAATGTTGGTGCCAACAGCAGCAAGCAGCCCGCTTGGCAGATCCAGGGCAAGAGGCTGGCAGCAGGTGGATGGGAGGCTGCCTTGTGAAGTGGTTGGGGATGGACAGTGTAAGCAGATGGCCCCCCGAGGGCCCCTTTGTTACCAAGGGTTTATCTATCCACAGGCCACTGGGTGAGTCCTCGCGAATGCTCTGACCGGCCACACTGCTGCCGTGGAGTCTCCAGCACAGGCAAGAGCAGGACTTCTGGATCCCGCACAAGGGACCCTCCTCCCCTCCAGCAGCTCAGAGCAGGATCAGGGATGGGAGCAGCTGAGGAGGAGGAGGAGGAGGAGAAGGAGGAGGACGAGGAGGAGGAGGAGGAAGAGGTGGCTCTCTGTCCCCTGGGACCACCAAGAAGGGGATGCTGCCAGTACTTGAAGACACCAACTTTTACTGCAGGGTTTCTACAAAGGCATCAAATTCTCTGACATTCTTCTCATGCACAGCCAACTTCTCGGGTAATGAGTCCTGTGGTGGGAGGGGAGAGAAGAGCTGGTGTCAGGCAGGGCTGGGGGGGGTGCAGCCAGCCTAGTCACCCAGAGTTGGGGAAGGGAGGCTGAGCAGGCCTAGAACCAGGGTCATATCTACCGCTCTCCTCAGGGGAGTTGTGGGAGGTCATAGAACAACTCAGAGACAGAAAAGGAGCAAGCCTAGAACAGGATGGTACTCTCCTCAGACAGATGGAGACTGACATCAAAACACAATAGAGAGGGGAGCTCTGGTGGCCTAGTGGCAAGGAGCTGCAACTACAATCCCAGAAGCGCATGGTTCGAATCCACCAGATGCTCTGCCGGGGAAGGAGGGACAATCTCCTCCTGTACCAGTCAGATCTGATTTGACGGTACACTCACACAAAAATAATTAAGAAGAAAAAAAAAAACAACAAACAAAAAAACCCCACACATGATAGAGAACTAAGAATCACAAAATAAGACCCGTTTGTGAAAGATGTCATCACACACGTGAAGGCTGAGTACCCAAAACCCTGGGCACGTGAACTAGGCAGTTTCAGCTGTACTCCCAAAAGATTCTGATCCAGCAGGTCTGTGGTGAGGCCTGGGACTCTGCATCTTTGAACAAACTGAGGAGGGTAGGTGAGAGTGGAGGGAGAACAGCAAACAAGAAGGAAACACAGGAAAACAAGAGCCTTGAGGAGTCGGAATAAGATACTGAGCAGAGGCAGCCGAAATGACATGCATCAACTGCATCAGCACACCCTGACCGGCCTGCATCCTCGCTGACAAGCAGGCACAGACAGCACTACAGGAGGGTCTCTGCAGGGCAGGCACGCTCCTGCGAGAGGCTGGTTGCAGCAGGCGAGCCAGCACACTGCCAGGGCGCTTGGCGGATGAGCCGGCTCCACTTCTTTACAAGGGCATTTCAAGTGCAAGGAGATGGAGGTTAAAGGCTTCACTTCAGGAGCCAGACCCCTGGAGTCAAAGCCTTGTTCTGCTGGACTGTGATCTTAGGCAAGTTATTTTATTAACCATGGTCAGTAACTGTGGTGATTAATTGTGCTGGTTTCCTCATCTGTACAACAGAGATAATAGAAAATCCTCCCTCTTAGCATTGCTGAAGAGCACTGTAAAGCACTAAGCATACTGCCTGATGCCTCCAAAGCCTCAATAAATGCTGCTAACAGTGGTAAGCATTACTGTACCGATATTACCATTAAGCAAGCTTTTCTGTGTAAAGCACTTCAAGGGCAGGAAGCCCAGAGCCTCCAGTTTATGAAGGAGGTGACTTGCCCCCTCAGGCAGAGGAACCTTGCATCTCATGGTGTGAGGCCTGGGGTCTGTGGCTGCCTAGGCCCCCTGTCCTTCAGTAGAAAATGTTTTAAGGAAGAGTGTGGCAACAACTATGGTTCACGTCACCACCTCTGAGCACACAGGAGAACCACAGCTACAGGGAGGATTTCTAATACCCAAGATCGTACATGCACCCCTGCTCTGTGCCCTTGGACCTGGCAAACTAAACAGCTGAATCCAAGGAGCAACTTGGTTCTGACATTAGCTAGTGGAAGACACCAGGCCCAGAATGACAGGGGTGTCTGTCTGAAAAACAATGTTAAGTGTGCAGGGAAAGCAGGAACCAAACCCAACTAATTCAAGATAATGAGTGTCAGACACAATGCAAACCTCAAGAGTGATCAGTGGTCTGTTTCTTGCCTCAGGGAGGGTAGGAGGGGAGTTTTATTTGTGGGTGCAGGGGTGGTGGTGGTGCTGATAAACAGGAGGAAATTTCTAGATCTGTAGATGGGGAGTGACCACGAAAAAGGGACAGAGGTCAGAGGATGAGGTTTCCATACCAAGTCCTCAGCCATGGATTGCGCGCCAATGTCTATGGAGAGGCTGCTCAGCTGAGGGGGGTTCTGAAATTCACGATAGAAGGTCCCCAGGTCCATTGGAAGAATGTCATCCTTAGAAAAAGCTGGTTTCTTTAAAAATAAGACAAATCCAGTTTAGCTTCTACCTTGGACTACAGAGGAAAAGCCAGAAAAGATGCTACATCACACAGGCTCCAGCAGACATGAGTTTAGAGCTGTATTTTCTTAGGAACTGCAACTAAAGATATGACATAAAAAGCCTTACTGTCTCTGGGCCTCCAAATACCTCCCAACGGTGTCCCGGGAAGGGTCCCCACAGAACATCACAGCTGAGTGCTCATTTGTCTCACCAGCCCATCTAAGTCCTAAAGGAAAATCTTTGTTTCATCCATTTCTCATGTACTATCGTGATTTGTTCTAAAAACCAGGTTGTTACTAGAAATTGGTGGTGTGCAAAAATGGAGGCCAACCACATCAGATCACAAAACCATTCTCTCACACAAATTACATCATCAGATAATTGGCAAACCACTGAGAATCATGGCCTTTAACCTTAATCAGCACAGCCATGGCTTATTCTTGCTTCTCTCACCTCAGCATTGTTACTGCCAGGTACTCAGCTGCAAGATAGTTGTTTGTTTTTTTTTTAACATAACTGTTTTATTTCAAGATAGTTTTTAAAATATTGTCATAAACATGAAAAGTCAAATGAGTTAAGTGAGGACAAGGTCTACTTTGATAGAAAGTGATCCAGTGAGTGCCTTGATTGTTCTCCCCAAGAAAGTAAGGGACAAGGAAAGTGACAGCAACTTACAAAGTCGATCATCACAAAGTCGTCGTGGGCATGGCCACTGCTGCCCCCGCTAGAGCCCTCAGAGTGCAGGCTGCCTTGCAGAGGAGACCCAGCCTCCGGGGACGCTGGAGGATTCACCTGTTCCAAGTTTCAGGAAAAAGAATTGGATGTCAGTTACTGCTAACAATTTGAGGATTTTCTAAGCGATACACACTGGAGACAAATCCCTAAGCCATGGGACATGGCCCCAGAAGGCCAACCACTGCAGCACCTCACTGGAAACTCCTAAATGAACAGTGGGCTCACCATAGGATCAGCATCCTCCAGCTCCAAATTTTTGGGAGCAAACATGGCAAAAGGGATGTCTAAATTGGTCAGCGTCACCTGGAGAGACACACGAGAACAAGCCTTAGTGTCCGAGGCCATCCACCAACCTGGATCCACACTTTCCTTACAGACTAGCTGCTAGAGGTCATCAAATTAGCAGACCAGGCTGATCCCCAGCCTCAGGCTCCTCTTGCCTCCCTGCCTACACCTCCTTCCAGACAGATAAGGCTCCAAGGCCCACGGGTTCCTTCTGAAATGGATCCACAGCAGTTCAGTAACTACACCGCTTTCTGGGCACTGAGGATGAACAAAGGCCAAGTGCCACTGAGGGACAGCTACACTGCAATGCTTTCACATTAAATGGTGTCTCATCTCTTCCTCTATGGGAAGCTTAGAGATCACAGAATAATAATAGCTTATAACTTTTTTCTGAAGGGGTGTCATTGGTTATTAACACTCTCCAAGGAAAATCTGCATACGTATACCCCCAAGTTTGCACACAATTTCAGTGGATTTGCAGATCTCAGGTTAAGAGCTCTGAGATACAAGGCCTCATTCTGAAGGCTTAGGCATTCTCACAGGCGGGAGTGGTACAAGAATTACCTGGTTGACTGGTTTGTTAACAAAAGCTCCCACTTTCCGGACAAAGATGGTCTCCAAGACATCGTGGGGGGAGGCGCGTCCTTCACTGCTGTTTGACACGGTTTCAGTATCCTCACTGCAGGAGAAAGGCCACATGGAACTTACTCTCAAACCCCAACACAGATCGCTTGGTTCTTGCAAACCCACCACAGTGGGGCAGGAGGTGGCCTCCACTGCTGTCACCATCCTCCTGCTTTGACAGCAGTTGACAGCAGGAGACTGAGATTCCCAGAACAACTAGGAATTCTGCATATCCAAACAAAACTCACAATTCAAAGTGTGCAGAGCTGACTTAAAATATCATCTAAAATGTCAAAGGGTAAGCATTGGAAGATAGGAAAATCACACACACAGACCAGCAACTCTCACAAACAACTGTAACTTTAGTGTTAGTTTAGTCGATTACATGGCCAGACAAACAGTTCAGCCTTTCCTGTTTTGGATATCCCTTCTTTTATGGAGAGTTGTCTAAAAAACACTGTACATCTGTATGGCTTCCAGTGCCACGTCCAAACACACTGACATCAATTACAGTTAAAGAGTCACAATTATTCCCTGGGAAGTCAGGCTCTCTCCACAGGAGGCAGCTGGCCTAGACTGAGGTTCTTGGTTCTGGGTACCATCTTTCCCTTCCCTTCCCTCTCTTACAAACTCTTCATTCTGAAAACCCTTGACATTCCATTTGGCTGCTCTCATGTGTCCCTGCCTTGCTCTGTAGACTGACAACACGTCTTGGATGATGAAGTGACTCTAAGGAGCAGAAAAGGAGACCCACCCTGGGGCTGGCCAGAGCAGCACTCAGAGCTCTGTAGGCTGCAATGGACAGGAAAGATCATCTAGCCAAACTGAGGGACTCAAGGTAAGGAGAACATCATCTAGTCCTCTGTCAGTGGGGAGAACCTGGTTTGAGAACAGGCTTAAGCTGGCAGGTCCTGCATATAAGGACCCAGCCCCACCTCCGCCACACAGGGTCTTCTGTTCAATACTCTTGGACTTTTTTCAGAAAACTAGAGTAAATCAACACATTCTCCTTCAGAGGCAAATAATGAGAGGATGGAAGCTTAAGAAGTTAGAAATGAAATTATTTTTCCTGAAGAATGGTACCAAAAAAAAAAAATCTTTCCTGCAAAATTCCCCCTTTCCCACTACCACTCCACCGTGGGAATAAAAAAAAAGTCCTAGGCACTTTTATTACCATAAAGTTCACTTAGGATGATGTGGGGCAATGCAAAATTCTCATCTCTGGGGCCTTCCTGCTTGAGGTAGGGTGGGGTAGGTCACAACAGCTCTCTCCTCCCAAGGGAGAACTCTGTGTAATGGAAAAAAACAGGCTCTGGAGTTGGAGGATTTCGGCTGCAGCCCTCGTGTGGCCGTTTTTTGAGCTTTGAGAGCTCTCTCAGGAAATGACTTAACTCAAGATCTTCTCATATTTTGAAAAAGGAGGTAACAGTGATTCCTGAAGGGTGGGATTAAGAGAATTCTTACTTTTTACCTAATCAAGATCTTCTATTTTAAATTCTGTTTCTGTAATCAAAAAGGGCAAAGACTTAAAACTATCTTTAATAAGGAAAACAACCTATTTCTCCAACTGATCTCCATGAGGAGCTAACACAGTAGAAAGGAGAAAAAAAATCTACCCCAATAACAAGCAGACACTGTGTGACCCCGGACTGCGAGGTTACAGTGACCTGTGTGTTCATTCTTCAGGAAACAAGAGTCAGTGGCAGCACCTGAGTGCCCTGCTACTGGGTGACAGAGCCACAGATCTGCTGTTCCCCATCTGCAGGCAGGTCCCAGGCCCCTGGCCAGTTTTCTTGCAACCCAGCTGATGCCTAGGCTCCCCCAGAGGTTGGACCCAACTTCCCTGAGTAGGATGACGGCTCATTAGACTCTATTCTTATTTGGCAAGGTTACTGCATATTTTGAGCACAAATCCCAAGTCAGAGTCACTATCAGAAGCCAGCCTTTACTGATCCCAAAGAAGCACCTACGCGGCAGAGAGGGCAGGCCCTTGGCTAGCCTAGCAGGATCATGGCCAAGATGGCTAAGAACTCACCTGCTGGAAGGTGTGGCAGCACAGTGGGCCCCGTCAGAAGGGGTGCAGGTTGCCAATCTCTCCTGATCAGCCTGGGTGCCGTGGGCAGGCTGGTTGGGAGCAACCGGTACTCCGCCTTCCTTCCCAGGAACCATCAGCTTCGGTGGGGGATAAAAAGAGAGCTGCAGTGAATGAGGGCAATGTCAGGCAGGAAAGGAACTTCACATGCCAGCATGATAGTATCTGCTCTCAAGCTTTTCGGTCACCAGTGTGCCACCAACAGGCAGGAGATGCAGCCTCTTTATCCTCTTGGACCCAGTTAATGGAGGACATATGGCAATGACTACAGAGAAGACATCCAAAAAGTCATTCTTTTTCCCTTCCTCTCAAAGCCAGTCAGGCCTACAAAGTCACCACTTCAGAACACTTAGACACAGTAAGTGCCCTTCAACTGTCTCTGAGAGGAGGGGCAGTGCTGAAACCCCCTGGTCTTCCCCCCTCGAGAGATACCTGGTGAGGGTGTGTAGCATTTAAGCCAGCAGCAAACACTACTGGATAAGCCAGGTCAGCTGATCCAACGCCCAGGGCAGCAGGCTGATAGGAAAGGCGAGAACTTGAGAGCTAAGCAAGAGAAAAACAGAGAGGGGCGAAGGAGAGGAGGAGGAGGGAGAGAAGAGAAAACAGGCAATCCTAGTGTGTGCCTAATGATTAGGAGCAGTGGAGAGTCATGAATAACTCACAGCTCACAGCACCATTACACCTGGACCTGGTGGACAGCTTAACGACACACCAGACCACTAACTTTTAGATAAGAAAACACAGACTTGTTTGAAACTGGGGCTAGGATCCCTGCTATAAAGCCTCCCAAAGGCCTGGCATGAGTTCATGGTTTGTTGCTTTCCCAGGGGCTCAGGTAGCTCTTTCAGTTTTAAGCCCAGAAGATCTGTGAGCACAAGCCTGGGCAGAACTCGGAGCCAACGCCATAATCCATTTTTCCAAAGACATTCTATTTTCTCCTTTGTCCTTGGGTCCCTCTGAAACAGAAGGCCAGCTTCTTTAATCATACCCTCCATCACCCCTGTGCATTGGGAAGGTTCCTATTTATATTTTTTTAAAAAAGGATACAAGTCTTTGGCTGTTTATTTAAAAATAAGATATAAATAACCACACTATTTTTCACATCAATGGGAGGAGGAGGGGCAAATTAGGCCTCATCTTTGGGGCTGCTGTGCTGTAGCTGTGTCCTGTTAAAACTGATCACAGTCTCTAAGAACCCCACAAAGGATGTGGGGCACTGAAGTAACTCTCCTTGCACTACGGCTCCAATGTTTAAATAAAAAGATGCCATCTAATTACAGACTCACTTGATGGGAAAAGGCCAGTCCTGCCATGGGAACCCTCAGGGTGTCCGTCACCGCAGGAGTAGGGGTCTGAAAATGTGCCTTTGTGACAGTAAACACACACTGTGCACAGATATACACAGACAGGGGGGAAAAAAACAGAAAAGAAACTTGAGAAAGAAGTGGGAAAAATTCTGGGAAGGGGCAATAGCAGTAGAGGCTGAATGGACCATGGGAAGTCAGGGTGAAGCAGAGTGGCCTGTCCCTCTTCTAAAAGGACAATCTGAGAGGGTGTGGACAAGTGTTTATCACAGGGTCCTCAACTTGCTGCCTGTCTCCCTGATGGCGAGCAAGTGGAAAACAAAGCTGAGTCAAGCTGGGATGACTTGGCAGAACAGAGAAACCTGAAGCAGGCATCAGCATGTAGTTTTTTGTTTTAATTTTTTTTTTCAATCAGCCTGTCTTCAATAAAAAATAAAAAAGAGTGGCAGTTAAGAGAACAGACACTAATAGAAGGGGCCTCGGAGACAATGCAAAAGTGTGCTGAAGAGGAAAAGGATGCTGAGGCTAGCATGTTGGACTTAAACCTTTCCTCAGGGGATCCAGAATCTGTGGAAACAGGTTTAAACAGTTGACATTTTTGGACAGAACTTTAAATAGATGCACTTTCCTACGTCATTTTAGGGAAGGTGGGTGGGTATGCAGGGTGTGTATTCTTAAACTGTCTAAGGCGTGGGAGTGAAAATGGAGCATCCTGACAGTGTGAAAGATGGGGGCACTTATCAAATCCTTAACATTTTTAAGGTTAATAAATAATAGGTATGATGATCGTTACATTTCATCAATTAGCTAATTAAAGCTTAGAACTGGAGGGAGGGCCACAGGTAACAAAGGCAGTTTCATTTACGAGTACTTCTTAATTCTATTCCAAAGATAACATGGCTCAAGAATTCTTATTTTGTTGACAAAACAAACATGATATTAAGACATATGAATAACTATGAGTTTCTAGTTAAACCAAGAAAGCAACCATTTCAGTATTAACAGAAATGAAGACCTCTGGCCATGAGAGAACTGAGGCAAAGTGCAAACTTCTCGGGTCAGTCATGATTAGAGGTGCTGAGGGAGCACTGCCGGGGGACAGCCAGGGGTGCGCAGTATTAATCAGATCTGGGGATGATCTGGTTTTAAATGGAAATGACACAAAGGGAACTGATACCGTGAAACAGAGAAGCTCTCCTTACACAGGCCAACAGACCTTAAAAACAAGGATAGAAATTCGTTTCCCAATTTACTTTTGGGGTCAAATTTCCACTATGTTATTGTACTAAAGAGACAAATGGATTTCTTTTGTCCAGCCTTCCATGCCTCATACCTCCCAGGTTTAGGTATTGTTAAGACTATTATTTGTAAAATTTTAAGAAATAAAAATTTTGTTTAAGGCAGCTCTGTGGCCTAGTGGCAAGAAGCTGCACTGCAATTGTGAAGGCACTCAGTTCAAATCCACCAGATGCTCTGCTGGAGAAGGAGGGGAAATCTCCTCCTGTACCAGTTGGATCCAATTCAATGTATATACACACACAAATAATAATTAAATAAAAAAATGTTTAATAAACTTTAAATGTGACATATTCACATTGGATGATATTAAAAAATAGCCTACTTCCATTAATGTGCAACTGTAAAAAAGCTGACTTTCCTCCCGTTTTTTGCTGTCATTGTTGCATGTCAGTAAGCTTTCCATGCAGACAGTGATACCTACTTATAATGATGGGAGGAAGGGACTAATAATCCTGTGGCTCCCAACACTAACTGTGGAGGCAACTTTGGAACATGGACCTCTGAACTCTAAACAAACTGGAAAACAGAATAGAGATCTGCAGATGTCGCAATGTCATTCACATGGAATTAATGAGGCTTAATTCTCAATTTTGAAAGAGATGAAAACCATACTTTTCATTTCAGCATTTCCTAAGTAATACAGACTAGAAAACAGGAATTTTTTTTTTCTTAACTAAAAAATAAACAAAAAATTCCAGGGGAAAAACAAACAAACAAACCCACCCAACCCCCCCCCAAAAAAAAACCCCACCACTTAAAGGAGAGCTAACTTAATTTGCTAGGTCCCCAAAATAAAATGGTGAAAATGGATAATCTAGGGCTAAACAAACCTAAAATTGAGTCAAATAGTTTAGTGTTAAAGAGCTGTTCAAATCCATTCAAATGCATGCAGTTCAAATCCACTAACTGCCCCAACAAGAGAAAGATAGACCATCTCCTGTGGGATTTACCACTTCTGAAAACCTGGTGAGGGTCAATTTTGAGTTGGTTCTGACTCCAAGGTACACAACAATGTGAAATTCAAAGGGGAAAAACAGAGAGTGTTGCAGGTGGAGCAGGGATCAGGAGGCACTGAAGGAGATGACGACTGGTGTGAGCAGAAGGGAAGAAATGTGGCCCTAAAATAGTCAGCTGCCAACATGCTTTCTTAGCAGAAGCTGTCTCAGCATCATATACATTATACTGGAAGATACAGGTGGTTCTTCTTGGAGCTGGAGACCCTAGTTTGGGGTCTGTGTTTTACTGAAACTGGGTCTGACTGCATATTTACTTAAGTGGAAAAGTTAATAAGGTCCAAGTAGAGAGTAAAGACAGGTAGAAACCTGTGCCAACTGTAAAAAAATTTTGCACTACTGGTTCCTTACTAATATTTTATGCTCAGGCTCCTTCCATTACTAAATGTTAAAGTGACCACTTCAAAAAAGTAGGAACTCCTCAATTAAAAGGGGTCCATTAGAGTCAAATGCACTTGGAAAGCTGTTACTGATTTTCTGGGGAATTTAATGCTATATGTCAAGCCAAGTAGAGATTACATGTAATCCTGTGGGTTTAAGAGACTAGTGACATTGGAAGTATTAATCTAACAGATAAGACTGCTTTTATTACCTCTCTCCAAAATAACTCCCTTAAAATAATCATGACCACAACCAAGAAAAGGTACTCTAAGTATCCAATGCTGGACACCATTTCATAGATCCCATATATGAAATCATGTTAACTTCCACTACCACAGAACCTATTTCACCTACCTGGGATGGAGGGGAGGTGGAGAAAGAGGTGGTACACACTTCCTGAGAGTCTTCCACAGATGGATATGTAACTCCAGTGTCCTCACCAGAAGTTCTACAGTAAGGAAAAAAGAAGAGTTTTATGGTGGTGGTAATCAACCTCCAAAAAGAAGCCAGAGAAGAAGGGAGGCTTTGGCAAGGGTTGTTCAGTTATGAGTTAAAGAAGAAAGTAAAAAATAATGAACTGGAAATATCCTCACTCTGAGTTCATAGTAGAAAGAGAGGGAACTCAAGCCATTTCAAAGCATCTTCAGGAGAGCAGCACCTAGAGACCTGATTCAATCTTTCTTTTTAGCCAAATACCTTACCTGTTCTATTATCTGATAGAGAATTTTCTAGGCCAAGGTTGAGGGCCAGACTAGGTCTTCAAAGGTCTTGTTATGTGCCATCAAGTCGCTTGCGACTCATAGTGACCCTATGTACAAGAGCCCTAAATGCTGTTCTATCCTGTGCCAACCTCGCCATCTCAAACACACTCATTCCCACCACTCTAATCACAGAATCAATCGATCTCATCAAGGGTCTTCCCCTCCTGCGCCGTCCCTCCACTCTGCCAAACATGATGTCCTTCTCCAAGGACCCGTCCCTCCCTGCTGAAAGAAAAATCTAAAGCCTACAAACTATTCAACTTCAGAAGTCCATCAAACATTGCATCCATACTTATACATATCTACTCTAACCTCTGAGAACTGTGTTTTCTGAGCTCTGAGCCTGGAGATACTTTATTCTAAACATATCAGAATTATATCAGATGGCGACCTGAAAACCATTTAATTTGCCAAAGGATAGTCCACAAGTAACTGCTCCTCTTGAAGTCCTTACGTTAGCTGCTACTAAGAAAAGTCTACCCAGTACAGCACCACCAACATCCAAAACAGCTGTGATTCTGAAGCCTTTCTCTAGACTGCAGGTGGGGGCACAACTATATGGTAGCACCAGGAAGGTTTCTGTTTCTTTCAACACAGGGCCCCTAGCCCCAAGTTTTGATTAGTTTGCTTCATCTCCCCCTGAAAAATGAGTGCTTTTGCCCAGTAGAAGTCTCAGAGAGTATTTGACAATCCTTACTTGTAATTACAGGGGTGCATAGGTGCAGAGCTGGGATAGGGACGGTCCACAAAATGATCAATAATAATCCCCATGATAGGCGGGGTTCTCTCAAATTGCCTGTAATGAAATAAGCAGATTCAAGTATTTGTTAAAATGCCTTCCAACCCCAGCAAATACCCAACATATCCCTAAAAATAAATATTCTGGGAAAAGTGGTTTTGGAACTTGCAAATTCTCTAGCAAGTGTACTTGTTTCTTGATTTTCATTCTTCTGGGGGGCTCATTTCAATAGCAGAAAAATTGAATTATAGGCTTAAGCTTGGTGTTGAGGGAGTGGAAGCACGCTTTTGGATTCCAACCAAGGCTTTTGCTTACCTGGTAGACATGAATGCCAAGTTAATTCTGTAAGCACAAGAAAGAGTAATAGTGCCCACTGGGGTGCCCACTGTCCCAACACGAACTGTCTGGAAGCCTAGTAGGAAAGATAAGTGATTAGGTTTTTTCCCAAAGAACACTGGCAATGCTTCCTGTCTGCCTTTCTTTGCCTGGGTCATGCAGTCTAGTGTCCAGTCTCTGGCATTATTGAGCATGATGTATGCAGCAGCTTCAATTTCCATCCTCCTTTTTTCTTTCAATTTATTCTACACTGACCCAATATTAACAAGTCAAACAGAATTCTAACTCCAGATAAAACTACTCCAAAAACATATAGCAAATATTCATTTAGGTCTGAGCAAGTCCCACCTGATCACATCCAAAGTGTCATATGCCTAGGCAGACTGAGAAAGCATAAGGAATTTGCCACACAAACACCTTGACTTATGAAGTAACTACATATCTACCCATTCGCCACTTAAGTACAGGGTAAAGTCAGGGCCTTCCAGAGGTTCTAGCCTTTTCATTTCTACTTTTTCTAAATTGTCGTTGCTTATAAAAAATATTTAACATGCTCATTAAAGAAATTTAGGAAAATGGACTAGAACTTTGTTTTGTTTTTAATGAATTTTAATGAGAGTTTACAGAGACTTAGGGTTTCCAGTCATTCATTGTTGCACAAAGTTGCTAGAACTTTTAGAGACATTATCTAGTCATCTCTGGTATTTCCTCAGACAATGTATCAATTTTTAAAAATCTTTTCTCAACCTGTATCATATATATTAAGATTACAAACAACACATTACAAATATTGATCAAGAAGTTAGAGGAGCTCTTAATACTATAATTATTTTCTTTCTTTCTGATAACCTGAGACCCATGAGAAGCAAAAAGCTAGATCAGGCAGAGAGAATTTCACTTCTAAATAAGGTTTCTACATCCCTTTTCAGCTTGAAGAAGTTATAGAAAAAGAGCTATGTTGCCATCTCCCCTCAAGAATGAGGAGTGTAAATCTCTCAGGGCCAAATAAGACAAGTCAGGTTCTGCTTTAAGATTTGTAAATGTTTATGATTAGCAGGAACTGCACAGCTGCTTCCTAGCCTTTTAGGATAACCAAGCGCAAATGTCATCTTTAAAAAAATTCAGGCTAAATTGCCCAAGTAGTACTTTCACAAAGTGCTTCCAACATCTACACTAGACATGACAATGTGAAAGGACTGAGTCTCCTGTAAGATAGGCCTAGTAACATCAGAGCCATTTTCACAGAGCTAAAATTTGGCCAGAGTCCAAATAATTAATCTGTGGAATTGCTTAGTTTCCCCAAGACTGGGAAACAAACAAACAAACAAAAAAAGGGTGGGTTACAATAGACAAAATGTATATGAATGGCTATATGCAAATGAACAAAAAATTTAAAAATACTAAAAAAAAAAAGTAACAGAATATTAACATTTCTTTAACAATAATTTAAAAGATAAAGTGTCCTTTTAGTGTAGTAGGATATCTGAAGATGGCTCTTTTTTTAATATACCTAGTTCTTAAATTTATTAATTTCAATGAAAATTTACAGAGACTTTGGATTTCCATTCATTGATTTTTGCACTTTTCTCCAATCCCAATCCTCCCCCCCACTATACTACCCTCTCGGAAAAGTAAAAAAGTCTTTCATTGTTTTACAACCCCTCCCCCCAGGTCCATTCCAGTATGCAGCCTCTGTTCTGAACTAAAGATGGCTCTTTATCAGGCTGGAACTCTTTTTATCTCATTAGTTTAGAAGACCTTAAGGAAGATTTCCTTATCAAGTTTAAGCTGTTGTAGTTTGCCTTCCCACCCTGAACATCACTCCTTTATGTTAACATATAGAACCTTCTGATGCATCACAGTTTGCTTTTGAAAATAAAAAGTTTTCAAAGTGCTTCGGATTCTCCTTTCCCTTGCCTCTTCAAATGATGTGCTGAATCCAAGTGTTTTACCCCCTCAGACAGATTAGACCAAGAAGGCTGTAGTTGTGCTTAAGTGACCTTGGTCTATCACTTGTGAAAAAACTAACACACCCACCCATATGGTAAAGTCAAAGTCAATGACTGTTGTTGTTATGTGCCTGAGATTCATATGTACAACAGCCCTAAATCATGCTCTGTCCTGTGCCAATCTCACTGTCTCTGACACCCCCACCCCGATTACCCCAGTCACTGAATCAATCCACATCATAGAGGGTCTTGTCCTTCTCCAAGCACCTGTCTCTCCTTACAACATGTCCAAAGCATGTCAGACGAAGCCTCGGAATCCTTGGCTCCAAGGGGCAGCCCAGTTTAACCCTCTCCAGGATGAATCTGTTTGTTTTCTTAGCAGTCCATGGTACATTCAATACTCTTCTCCAACACCACAGCTCAAAGGCATCAATTTTCCTTCTATCCTTCCTAGTCATTGTCCAACTCTCTGACACATAATGAATGATTGATTGTAAAGACCATGGCCTGTATCAGGTGCACTTTAGTCTCCAGAGTGACACCACTCTCTTCAGCACTTTGGAGAGGTCCCTAACAGCAGACTTTCCCATCACAATATATCTTTTCATTTCCTGGCTGCTGGTGCCAAGAGTGTTGACTGTGGAGCCAAGCAAACTAAAGCTGTGAACAATCTCAATCTCTTCACCATCCATCCTGATACTGCCAATTGGTCCTGCGGTGAGAATCTTTGTCTTCTTGATATTGAGCCTCAATTGGTATTGAAAGCTGCAGTCCTTGACCCTCTGCAGCATGCATTTCAGGTCCTCCTTAGTTTCAGCAAGCAGGGTTGTGTCATCTGCATAATGCAGATTGTTGATAGATCTTCCACCAATCCTGACAATGACTAAGAAATCCATTTCTTACAATAAACCCTTGACATTACAGTAAGTTGTTTGTTGTTGTTATGTGCTGCCAAGTCACTTGTGACTCACAGCTACCATATATACAAGAGCTCTGAACCCTGATCTATCCTGAGTCAACCTTACTCTCTCTGACACACCCAATCCCATTACCTCAGTCAATAAGCCAATCCATTTCATTCAGGGATCTCCTCTCTTTCACTGTCCCTCCACCCTCCCAAGCATGATTCCTGAAAGCAGATTTCCCAAAGCAATTACTCAGCTAATGCAGGCAGCCTAGGAACACACATAAAGACATAGCCTGGGCACCTCCAAGTGTTCCTTCTTGCTGTTGTTATGTGCCCTAAGATTATGATTCATAGCACCCTCTGAATAACAGATCTGGAGCCTGCGCCATCCTCATATTTCCTGAAACATTAGAGCCATTGTGGCAGCCACCGTGTCGATTCCCTTGGTCCAGGGTCTTCCTCTCCTTCACCAACCCTCTACCTTTCTGAACATCATGTCCTTCTCCAAGGCATGTTCCTAGCAACAAGCTCAAAGTATGTGAGGCAAAGACTCGTTATCCTTGCTTTCAAAGAGCACTCTGGCTGCAACCTCTCCAAGATATATTTATTCTTTTTACAGTCCACGGGATGTTCCAACACTACAGCTCAAAGGCAATAATTCTTCTTCCGTCATCCCTATTCACTGCCCAGCTCTCAGATGCACAGTAAGTGACTGGAATGACCATGGCCCGAATCAGAATCACCTTAGTCCTCAAACTGACATCATTACTCCTCAATAATTTGGAGAGGTCCCTAACTCAGGCTTTCTCAGTGCAATACTGTTGGTACCAAGAATGTTTACGGTGAAAATTGTGGATCCAAGTAAGATAAAGTTGACAGTTTCAATCTTTTCTCCATTTATTATGATGTTGCCTCAGTCCAGAGATAAGAATATGTTTTCTTAACACTGAGATGCAATCCATATTGAAGGCTGTATTCTCTGATCTTTTGCAACAAGTACTTTTAAGTCCTGCTCACTTTCAGCAAGCAAAGCTATGTCATCTACGTAACTCACATTATTAATGAGTCTCCCTATGAGCCTGGTGCCACATTTTTCTTTAGAGTCCAGCTTCTCAAATAATTTACTCAACATACAGAGTAAATAGGTATGGAGAGAGAATACAACCCTGATGTACTCTCTTAATTTTAAACCATATAGTGTTCCCTTGCTCTGTTTGAACATAGCCTCCTGGTCTAGGTACAGGTTTCAGATGAGCACAATTAAGTGCTCTGGGATTTCCATTCTCAATGTTAGCCACACTTGTTATGATCCACAAAGGCAAATGCCTTTGCATGGTCAATAAAGCATACATAGACATTCTTCTGAAATACTTTACTTTTAAGCATGAGCATGAGAAATCAACCGCAGTGTGAGGATGATCACTCACAGAAGTGAGTTTTGGCCTAAGCCATCATATCAAGGGGTGGCTGGGGTGAGGGGTTGCTGGCTGAGGTAGGCAGAGTGCGAAGGATGCTAATGTAGCAGGAAAAGGCAAGCAATAAGACAAAGGCACAGGGTGGGGATACACTGAATGTATAGGTTATTCTGTAAAGGGAAGTGTCTTTCATCTGCTTTCCATAAAATGTTTGTCTGACCGATATTGTTCTAAAACTAAGCATTCAAATTAAGACAGATTAGGAAGAAAAACTGTCCATCCACTTCAAAATACAACAGGTATTCAAAAACCCTATGTATAAAAAAGCACACTCAGAGTAGACTAAGAGCTGTTGTACACAAGGTTGCTATGAGTTGGAGGTGACCTGCCGGCACCTAACAACATTCCTTCTTTACTGCTTCCAACTTTTGCTCTCCAGCCACAAATTAGCATGAATATATCTTGATTTCATGTTTGGTTAATTTCAGACTCTAATAACTGGTAAAAACTTTCACTTTCTTCCTCTTTGCCTCTAGATGCAGGAATGTATATTTGATTAATAGTCGTATTAAAGGGTCTTCCTTCCATGGATATGGATATGGATAATATCCTTTAACTCACAACACTGTATTTCAGAATAAAACTTGAAATTGTTTGAAGCAGTTGGATTCTGGGAGGAAGGTAGGTTTTATTTACTTAACAATCAGGTGTGATCTGTTTGTTTTTATTTAATTAACAAGGAGTTGTGGCATGGAAGGATCTTATTCAAACTAATTAGGACCTGGTGGGTGGGCCTTTGTGATTAAAAGTTGGTTGGTACAAAGACTGATTTGCTATTAAGAGTTACAAACTAGCCCTTTCCCCCTCCATTTTCAGTGCTTGGGGTATTTCCTCCCTTTTTCTTATCTACCTCTACTGCCTACCTCCAGACACAGCTGACATCATGAGCTTCTGAGACAACAAGACCACCACCAGTCTCCAGGTCCTCAATGATTACCTGGCCAACAAGAGCTACATCAAAGGGTACGTGCCATCGCAAGCAGATGTGGTGATGTTTGAAGCCATCTCCAGCCCCCCACCTGCCAACCTGTGTTATGCTATATGTTGTTATAATCACCTCAAGTCTTATGAGAAGGAAAAGGCAAGCCTGCCAAGAATGAAGAAAGCTTTGGGCAAGTATGGCCCTGCTATTGTGGGAGGTACTATAAGAAGTAGAGCGGCAGACACTAAAGGTGACAATGACATTGATCTCTTTGGATCTAATGAGGAGGAGAAAAGTGAAGAAGCAAAGAAGCGAAGAGGATCTTGCATAGTATGAATCAAAGCCAAAAAACCCCTGCACTTGTTGCCAAGTATTCAATCTTACTAGACATGAAAGAGGCATGGCAAAACTGAAAGAGTGCATTAGAAGAATTCAGGCAGATGGTTTGGTCTGGGGCTCTTCTAAGCTAGTATTGGTCGGATGTGGAATTAAGAAGCTTCAAATAGTGTGTAACTGAAGATGATAAAGCTGGCATATAAAGGCTGGAAGAACAGATAACTGCTTTTGAAGACTAAGGGCAATCCACTTAAGTGTGGCCACTTTCAACATAACACAAAGTCCATTTGCATCCATCAATTAAAATAAAAACTTTAAAAACAAACAAAAAAAGAGCTACAAACTAAACTGTCAGTTAATTGTGTTTGGAAAGAACATTATTCTAACTGGTGCAGCACTTGTCTGTCAGTTTGCTACAATGAGGTAACTTGTGAGTTGCTGTGGAAGGTATGCCACTGGTGTGACAAATGCCACAAGGGTTACTCATCGTAGACAGATTTTGGTAGAGCTTCCAGATTAAAGATTAGATTGATTAGAGCTTCCTAGTCAGGAAGGAGGATTGGTCATCTACTTCTTGAATAACAGGTCTCTGAAAACCCTATGAATAGTAGAAGAATGTGAATAATTATAGTAGTAGTGGTAGAGCCCAGACTAGAAGTCTGGAAAAATAATGGGAAACATCATTTAATAATTGGAACTTAGCTTGGTAGGGTGGAGGGACAGCGCAGGAGGGGAAGGCCCCCTATGAAGTGGATTGATTCAGTGACTGGGGTAATCGGGATGGGTGTATTGGAGATGGTGCAACTGGCACAGGACAGAGCAGAGTTTAGGGATGCTGTACATAGGGTCGCTATGAGTCGCAAGTGACTTGACAGCACATAACAAGAAGCTTAAATATTGGAAAACTAAAAATTGTGAAAAATGAAATGGAACACATGAACACTGACATATGAGGTACTACAGAGATGAGATGGACTAGCTTTGGTCACTTTGAATCAGATCATCATGGAATAATATGCTGGGAATAAAAAACAGAAGAATGGTGTTGCATTCACAGTCAAAAAGTCAATTTCAAGTTCTATCCTGAAATACAATGTTGTGAGATGGATAGGAAGCAAGTTAAAAAGACCATGGCTTAGATCGGGAACACTACACTCTTTAATCTGGTATCACTGCTCTTTATCTCTTTTTTTATTTTTTATTATTTTATGTATATACCATCAAATTGGATCTGACTGGTACGGGAGGAGATAGTCTCTCCTTCTCCAGCAGAGCATCTGGTGGATTCGAACCATGTACCTCTGGGATTGCAGTGCAACTTCTTGCCAGTAGGCCACCAGAACTCCCTTTACTCTTTCTCTTTAGTTCACTGAAGAATTTGACAACAGAGTACCCTAATGCAACATGCCTTCTGATTTCCTGACTACCATATGTGTTGATTGCAGAAGTAAAATGAAATTATTGACAACTTCAATTTTTTCTCTATCATAAGGTTCCCTATTTGTCTGATGATGAGGATTTCTGTGTCCCTGATGTTGAGATATAATCAATATTAAATGTCATCTGATCCTCTGTGATATTTCAAGTCTTCATTTTTTGCAAGCAAAGCAGTGTTATCTGCATAAAGCAGGTTGCCGTTTTAATCCAAGCAGCATTCCCTTGTCTGTGTGGACAACAGCTTTTTGTTATATGTATCAGTTTCCGCAAGAACAAGTGTTCTGGGATTCATATTCTTCTGAATGTTAGTTATAATTTGTTAAAATCCACACAATCAAATGCCTTTGCACAGTCAATAAAACACAAGTAAACATCTTTCAGGTATTCTGTTTTCAGTCAAGATTCACCTGACATCAGCAATGATCTCCCTTGTTCACAGTCGGTGTCTTCTGAATCTAGCCTGAATTTCTGATGGCTCCCTGTCAATTTCTGGTGGCTCCAGTTGTTTTTTAATAGTAAGATTTTACTTGCATGTGATATTAATGGCATTGTTTGGTAACTTCTACATTTTGTTGGATCACATTTTCTGGTACAACAGAATGTGGAAATGGAAATAAACATGGATCTCTTTTATTGGCCAGATAGCTGCCTTCGATTAGGAATAGGCTATCCCTAACACAGGTTCAAACTGTCTTCCTGTCAAACATTCTTCTAGGTGGTATAGCACTGGTCTGTGCATTGCTGTACAAAGGTAACTCGTGGTTGCTGTGATGCTGAAGCCTGTGACAATGATGTGCCAATCGCGGTAATGGGCACCCATGGTGGACAGTGTTGGCTGGAGCTTCCCAACTAAATCAAGCCTGGAAGCAGGAGCGGCATCCACTTCCAAAATGGCTTGCCTCTGGAAACTATGTATGAACAGTGCTCAGGCTGTTCGTTCATAGGGTCGCTGTGAGTTGTCTACGACTCGACGGCATTAAACAAGAACAACAACAACATCCCTAACACACATAGGGCTACATCTGTTTGTAGAAAAAACCTCAACTGGTAACCCTTATCAACTCTTCTTTTGATGCTTCTTGCATCATTCAAGATTTGGCCCGCAGAATCCTTCAGTACTGCAAATCGAGGCTTGAATTTGTTCTTTAGTTCTTTCAGCACTGAGAAATGCCAAGTGTGTTTTTCTTTGATTTTTCTAACTTTAGCTTTCAGTAAATTTCATTAAAATTCTTTGCTTTATCTTCTTGAGCTGCCCTTTGAAATCTTCCACTCAACTCTCTTACTTCAGCATTTACCCCTTTTACATTCTTGGGAAAGTTTCAGGGTGTCTTCTGACATCTATTTCGGTCTTTTCTTTCTCATCTTTGAAATGAACTTTTGTCTTCTTTTTGGATGTTATCCTACAACTTATCTGGGGTCATTAGTTTTCAGTGCATCAAATCTATTCTTAAGATGGTTTCTAAATTCAGTTTCAAGTTAATATTTTGTTCCCTCTTAAAACCTTTAACACTGTTAAGAGCTTTAAGGTGCCATGGTGTGATCTGCTGTACGACCTTCTATAGGACAGCCATCTTGAAAGGGTTTGTTCAGCGATGACCAAGCACCTAGACAGATGTCATCTTAAAAGAACAAAACCTACAGCTAAAAAAACCTACAGAAAGACAGACATTATCTTAGAAGCCAGGTGACTGAGTGTACTGATTACATAATGCCTCCTTTACTGAAAATCTCTCCTTTACTGAAGACAACCTCGCCTTTCCCTCCTAAAAGTGCTATATAAACATGAGCTCTTCCCCATGTCCTTACCCTAGCCTATAAATATCTCCTCAGAACCTTTCATTGCTGAGACAGATCTGGAAGTTCATACTCCATCTTCTATATGCAGGCATAGATCATAAAACTCCTATCTCTAAGACTGTGGCTTTTTTGGTGGCAGGTGGCAAAACCATGTTTTCCAGTAACATTTTGACATTCTTTTCAGATCTAACTAAGTCCCTATTTTCCATATGCACTTGAAGATGAATTCCTGTCCTGGTTTCTTTCATTAATTGGCAAAGAAAAATTTGACATATGCTAACAAATTTTCATACATACCTTCTCCTAAGCCATTCAGCTGAACTTCCCCAAAATATATTCTGCAAAGAAAGAAAAAAGGTTATCTGAATCTTAATTCTAATGACATCTACTATGCAAACCTACTAGAAACCAATCAATAGTAATAAACTGTTGCTGATGCCTTAGAACTCTGGAATTGGCAAAGAATGCTGACTAGAACACAGACTGCCTAAAGAACAAACATCTTTTCTGGAGGATGTACAACCATGGTGTTTCTTAGAGTCAAGGATAGTGAGGCTTGGTCTGACACACTTGGGCATGTGATCAGGAAGAAAGGCAGAGGGTCAGAAAAGAGAGGAAGATCTTCAACAAAATGGACTAACACAGTGACTGTAATAGTGGGCTTGAGAATGGCAGAGACGGTGGGGATGGCACAGGACAGGGCTAGGTTCAGATCTAATAATGAAGTGGCTTTGCTTCTGGGGTTCCTTGTCTCTTCAGCTTCCACTCCCTGGTTTTACTGCCTTTTACAGAAGCCAACTTAGCAGATGTTACAAAGGTCTTTAGTTCCATGGTTACCACCAAAAAATTTCATCCCCAAGGTTCCCAACAAGTCTAATTCCACCAACTAAAGCCTAAATGCACCCTAGTCCCCAAGCCTCTTGTCCGAAGGTGACTGGTTCTCTCGCTCAACGGTCTGCTCCTATGTTATCTTGTGCACAGGTCTCTGGTTCTACTACTGTTATTTCCCTGTCACTGTATCAGTCTCTAGTGTTAAAATTTTCTGTCAACTGGAAAGGCCTTATCTTGTTCAGCATCTGCTGGCCTAGAATTCCTTGGAGATCTCCCTACGTCCTGGCCATTCCCTGTGCAGAAGAACTTCCCAAGGATGTGCTGTGCCACTACTGGTCTTCTTTCTTGGTGATGACTGTAGTACCTCCTTTCTGCTCCTCCTTGTTTTATTTACTTTTGTAAAACAAAAGGTATTAAAGACTATACTCCAGGGAAACTCCCCTTATATTCTATTGTTACCAGTGCTGGAAAAGCTTAAATGTTTTAAATTTCATGCTAATCATTTGTTTAGCTTATCAAATATGAGGAATTATTACCTTAACTTTCACATTACATCACTACATACACCTATTTTCTCTGTCTCGCTCACTACCATCAAGTTAGAAGTAACTTATAGCTGAGCCCCACTGGCTTTCCCAGGCTGTACAAGACACAGAAAAGGACTGCCCATCTTTCTCCCTCAGAGTCAAATAGTCAAAAAAGTTTGCCTTTTAGATTTGCAGCACAACTCTCTTTAAAAATGTGCCACCAGAGCTCCTTACATATACTTTAGGGGACACAATTTAATCCATGACAAATAGCAAATTTAGAATGAGTTGTTTTATAATTCCACAGAGGCAAGAGTATTGAAAAAATAGGTTTTTTTAAAAAGATGCAAATTAATCTCTAAGATCACCTACGAAGGTTTAAGCCAGTTATCTGCATACACAAGCATTCCTAATGGATTTAATATAGTATGTTTAACTATGTAGGATAGCCACTTACAAATGAACCAAAAGGAAGCACATTTAATATAGGTAAATGACAAATAAGAGTCAAAAAGGATCTTTCTATTTAAGAGGCTAGTAATTTTTAAGCCAATACTCTAAAACAGGGGAAGACAACATAGATGGCAACTAAAGTTTATTAAAGCCTTGGAAAAGTAAGCATGGTTAGGGTTTCTTGATTATTGCTGACGAAGTTAAAGGATGACTGGTAACAGGTCTTAGGTATTGGATTGTTTCAAGAGATTTAGTTAAGTCTTTCCTCCTAAGTCCATCCATACTGCAACAGTAATTCTGAAAATCAGTTCTATACACTTACACTTCTCACTCTAAAACCAATGGCTTGCCATTAATTTTTTCTTTCTTTTTTTTTTTAAATCATGAATGATTTGGGAACACTGGCTACATACTTATCTACTAACCAAAGGTTCAAACTCATTAGCGACCCTGTGGAAGAAAGATGTAGCACTGTCTACTTCTGTAAGCATTTATAGCCTTGGAAACTATAGAGCAATTCTGTTTTACATGATTGCTATGAATTAATGTAATACTTAAAAGCAGTAATTCATCATTGTAATCAAGGGAGCTCTGGTGGCCTAGTGGCAAGAAGCTACATTGCAATTATGAAGGTGCACGGTTTTTTTTTATTTTATTTTATTATTTTTGTGTGCGTGTACCGTCAAATCAGATCTGACTGGTACAGGAGGAGATTGCCCCTCCTTCCCCGGCAGAGCATCTAGTGGATTCGAACCGTGCACCTCTGGGATTGTAGTTGCAGCTTCTTGCCACTAGGCCACCAGAGCTCCCCTAAGGTGCACGTTTTGAATCCACCAGATGCTTCTCTGGAAAAGGAGGGACAATCTCCTCCAGTGCCATTTGGATGCAACTTGATGGTACACAACAAAAAACAAAAGAGAAAAATTCCAATATTTCAATTATATATACTGAAGGTACACACAGAATTTCAGTATATCTTCTTATAAGAAATCTGATGATTGTTTTATACTATAATTCTAGATTATAAACTAGCAATTGCTTTGCATTTAAGAAAGAAAACAAAAAAAATATATATAAAAAGAAAAAAGAAAACAAACTTTTAAATCACATATAATTATCACTAGGATAACTGTTTTGATGTGTCTTTTTCTCCCCCTCAATTTTTCTGTATACTTTTCTGACAAGTAGAGCCTCACATGGATGTAAGTTAAACTGCATGGGTTTGGGGTTTTTGGATTGGCCTCTAGTGTTCTGCTCTCTCACTTTCTTGCATATTTTGGGCCGTATGAATATAGTTCATGCTTCACTCCCCCACTTCTGGATTCTGCCATGTTGTACTCTCCCCTTGGAACAATGATTCTTCCTTATAGCAGCTGAAATTCTCTTTGTCTCAGCTTAATTCTTTTTATCCAGCTCAAATGTCTGTCCTGTTTTTCCTATCCACAGTAAACTACTTCCTCCTCTGTTTTCTTCCTGTTACTATTAATCATGATTCAAATATATAATAAAAACTCTGCTTTTATTATGTATTTATGCATATACCAAACTGTTTCTTCTACTGAATTAGATATTCATTATTTTAGAGATGCCGTACTGTAGTTCTTCCTTGGACCTTTTTTGGCTTACATTAAAAATACATTCAGTAAATATGTGTTAAGGTAAAATACTCAAAGGAAATTCTTCAAAGAAATGCTAACGAGTTCTTTACAATGAAAATTTAAATTAAATTTAATCTTTTTTAGACAGAAAATTTTAACGTAATCTAGAACACAGTGAGCTGTGGAATCCTCACGGGATAGTTTGGTTTTGTTTTTATTAAGTTTTAAGCTCCTTTTATCCTGTGTGATACATGTAAGTGTGGTTGCCATCGAATTGGAACTGATTCATAGCTTACCCTCCAGTAGGTTGTTCAGAGGCAGTTAATTGCACGGGAAGAGACTGTCCATCCTCCTGTGAAGCAGCTGGTGCATTTAAACTGAGCACCTTTGAGATTACAGTGCAGCTTCTTACCACTAGGCTACCAGAGCTAAAGCAGGATTTCAAAATCCATAGCCTAAGAATCATGACTATGTCTAGACCAAGGAACAATGAACTTGGTGGCTAGAAGGCTAGAGACAGTTGCGACAGAGGTTAATAACACACACTGAATCATAGGAAAGCTCTAACTAGCATCAATACTTCAGCCAATCATCTATTCAGAAAATAATCACAGAATACCTAAAGCCAGTCAGGTGCAGTGTGCAGGTAAGTCAAGAAGATGAGTATCTATTCTGTTTACCTGTACAATATTACATATTCATGCCCTTGTTTCCTGGAGAGTCTGTAGGCTGGTGTCACCCTAGTAATAGCAAGAAGAGACTTCAGCAGCAAGGACAGTCGGTTGTACACTGTGTAGGAAACTTTGATTTCTTTGTCACACCTGAGGAGCACACAGACATTGTCAGCATTCTCTGTTAAGCTTGTGTAAAGCAAAGGGGGAAAAAAGACAACTGATAAAGCAATGTTAATAAATTCTGTCTAAAGACCAAGATTAGTTTGGTAACACTGTTCATGAATTCTGATGGAATAAATTGTGCTTTACAGTTCAAATATACCATTCAGAGAGTATTATAATCAAAAGAGATGACTGCAAGTTATATGCAGTAGAACTATACAAATTTATTAATATTTATCATTATTGTTTTATGTTCTGAACAAAAAGCATAATTAGAGTTTTCAGTTTATCAAAAGAATGTTGAAGTCACAAAAATTTTTTTTCATGAACTAAGCACAAACAGATGATCATCAAAAGGTACTCAATGTATTTTCTCTAGCTTTGAAGTGATTATCTTGCTAAGAAATAAACTATCTCACTTAAAAAGGAGTAATTCAATACTGCAATTATGAATACTGAATGTGCAAACATAATTTCAATGTACCATTTTATGAGGAATCTGGAGAAATGACTGTTTTGTGCTGTAACTGTGGATTATAACCTGCCAATTGCTTTGTATTTAAGAAAAATAACTCCCACATCATACATAATTATCACTAAGATATTTCTTTTGATGTGCTTTTCCCCTCAATTTTTTCTATATACTTCTCTTGAAAAGTACAGCTTCAAACAGGAAGCAATGCTAATATGACTGGAAAGAAGAAAATTAGGAAAGGAAATAACACGTATTTCCAATCCATCACTGACAGTCTTTAAAAAGGAGCAGTGAGGGGGAATCTCACTGGACATCTGCCGCACCGAAAAAAGACAAAACAAAGTAGTCATATTACAAGAGCTTGCAAAGGATTTCATCAAAGAACTATGTGTACTCTGGGAAAACAAAAAGTCCCTTTCAGCGTTCACTGTTGCTCTCTCCCTGTGGTGTCTGAGGCTCTCGGGACTGGTGTTCTCTCTGAAGGTCACTGCTATGCCTAGGCTAGAAGCCAAGCATGAAGTCAATTGTAGCAATGACCATCTGGCTTTGTTAAGTGGTCAGAATGTCCTCCATGACTCTGATAGTCTCGATTTTCACATGGCATCATCTGTTTTAGTCCCTCAGCTACCACAACCAAGGACCCTAGGACAGAAACACTTACTTTTCATTCATTTCAAGACACCAAATTTCCAGTTCCATGGAGTCTCCCTGTAGATGGGACAATAGGAATATATTTCAGTATTTTTCTTAAAAGTGCCCTATTGGTGGTACTGGGTTTGTTTTAGCTAAGAACCAAATAGTTAACCATAAAAAACATTGAAAACTATGGTGTCATTATATGCCAGGGAGTCAACTACAAATCACAGTGGCATGAGTGGTGGGATTTATTGTTTCAGACTCACGGAAACACAGGGCTTTGTAAACTCAGGGCTTGGAAAGATGTACCGCTAAAATGGTTATTGTTTGCTGCTACTAAGCTGGAAAGAAAAGTTGAGAAGTCATTTAAGGCCTGAGATAGAGTGTAGCGAATAAAGATGAAACTAAGAATTTCTTTAAAAGTCTATGGATCTAAAAACCCCCCAACCAACCCCAAATAAACAAAAAGTCTATGCACTGATGGTTTTTAATGGTTATGCTGTAACTTTGGAATATACTGTAAAAATGAAGGATATGCAATGTTAAGATTAAGACACACTGTAAAAATTAAGGTTTTTGTTGATTTAACTATTCTGGATTTTGTTATACTGAAATATACTGTAGACTCAGTAAAGCAGGATATATTTGATGGATACCAATGTATTCTTCTACACAGCAATGTTAATGAATACTAAATGTTAAAATGATGTGATATATGATAATTTAGAGGAAGACTGTAAGCCAGATGAATATTAACTAGATATTCAAAAGGGGAAAATTTGTACTAAAGGAATGGCTGTAATAAGTAGTAGAATTTGGTAGAGAGCATGGGTCTTAGCCTGTGAAAGATTAAGCCTCATCCAGTACCCTATGGAGAGTTACATTTGAAAAAAGTCAAAAAAGAAAGATTCTGCTAACCCGTTGAAGCAAGGTAAAGCTGGGGCTCATCAGAACGCCCATTCAAGACCTGGGGTTAAAGGAATCTGGCAAGTATGCTTAACTCATGATGACCATTTGGGTCTACTTGATGAGTCCAATGAGTCCACTTGATGAGCAGTAATGAAGTGAGGCGGGGTTTGGACATGTTCCTTAGGCACTGTCCCCCTAGCATGATGAATGGATAAGTGAAGAAGGGCATTACTAGCCTATGGAGCAGGAGTCCTGAGGACCCCTAATGTAGTCACTTAGCCCATATAAGGCTAAGGTTGAGTAAAGGGACCAGCTAGTCTGCATACAGGAAGAAGTGTGGACTCTAGAGTCTGCAGCTGATGTCCATTTGGACCTACCCTAGGATGGCTGGCGAGAAGTTGACCAAAACCCTATGAAATGAAAAGATGCTTTGTTCTGTGAGCCACTGCTGATTGCTATAACTTGATAGTTTATTCTAACTGGTCCTTTGTTTATAGATGCAGATGTTAAAAATTCAACTGTGATAGAAGATTCTTCAGAGAAAAATACATGCTGGCTTCCTCAGAATACTAGTTTGGCAGGAATGGGCAAATCAGAAATTGTTGTTGTTGTTATGTGCCTTATGCACAACAGCCCTAAACTCTGCTCTGTCCTGTGCCAATCACACTGTCTCCAACACACCCATCCCAATTACCCCAGTCACTGAATCAATCCACCTCATACCGGGTCTTCCACTCTTGCGCTGTCCCTCCACCCTCCCAAGCATGATGTCCCTAAATCAATTCAAAGAGGAATGCTATGTTTGTAAGTAAATTTTGGTTGGTTAGAAAGATGATTTTCACTTCTTCCAGGGCAAATTTAAATATATATCCTTAGTATCCACATTCTGTTGGGTCACCCTTCTTTGGGATGGGAACAAATACCGATCGCTTCCAGTCAGTTGGCCAAGTGGTTGTTCTCCAGATTTCTTGGCACAACTTGGTGAGCATGTCCAGGGCAGCATCTGTTAACTGAAATATGTCAATTGGTATATCATCTATTCCTGGAGCCTTATTTTTTGCCATATCCTTCAAAGCAGCCTGAACTTCTTCTTTCATCACCATAGGCTCTTG